TAACAATGGATGAGGATGGCAACGTGACTGATGAGCATGAAATCAATACCCGGCTGTTGGAGAAGAACGATGTGATAAAAATCATGCCAGGTGCAAAAATAGCCTCGGATGGTTTGGTCATATGGGGGCAAAGCCATGTCAATGAGAGCATGATAACAGGAGAACCCAAACCTGTGATGAAGACCAAGGGCGACATGGTGATCGGAGGCACGGTGAATCAGAACGGAGTCCTGCATATTATGGTAACACAAGTTGGATCAGCCACTACCCTTTCGCAGATTGTTCGACTGGTCGAGTCCGCCCAAATGGGCAAGGCTCCTATCCAGAATTTTGCAGATTGCATTTCCAAGTACTTCGTGCCTTTGGTAAGCAAGTTTTGTCTCGTCTTCAGCGCTCCCACTATTTTTCTTGCAAACATATCCAAACCAACATGCTCTTATGAACCTATATAAAATAATTGAATCGAGTCGTGCACGGATCCAACAACATCAAACCATCAAAACAACTTGAACCCAAGTAACAGCACCTTCACCAACAGCAACCAATGAAAGGAAAGAATCTTGCTGAGCAATGATCATTCATGCAGGTCATATTCTTTTCAGTATCTACATGGGCTGCCTGGCTTTTGGCGGGGAAGTATCATGGCTATCCACCATCTTGGCTTCCAGCTTCCATGAATAGCTTCGAACTTGCTCTGCAGTTCGGAATAGCCGTGATGGTCATAGCCTGCCCGTGTGCCCTCGGCCTAGCAACACCAACTGCAGTGATGGTCGGCACCGGACTCGGTGCATCTCATGGTGTCCTGATCAAAGGAGGCCAAGCATTGGAAAGTACACATAAGGTTAGCATTCAAGATATATATGTAGCCATAGTTGACAGGACAAATACCCGGTCTAAACAGCTGAACCTCTGGATTAGATATAAATCACTTTAGCATTATATTAGAGAGTTTCCCTAGTTTTTCTAGTTTCTCTTTGTAAGCTTGTTTCCGGTCAAAGCTGTGACGAAAATATGTATGCATTTTTCATTCAAGTAGGCCAGCGAAGAGGTGGCAGAGATGGATTGTTTTGTGTCTTCCGTCCTTCCATACTGACGCACTCGGCGTGAATTTTTCTTTCATCATCTTAATCTTGTGTTCTGCTTAATCCTAGGTGAACTGTGTCGTGTTTGACAAGACAGGAACACTCACAATGGGGAAGCCAGTGGTGGTCAACACAAAAGTCTTGAACACCATTGAACCACAACAATTTTACGAGCTCATCGCTGCAACTGAGGTAGCCTTTCCACATCTATACATCTTTAACATCAGTTTACTAACCAATTAAGATCAACTACATCTTTGTTCTTCACATATTGCGCCCAAAGAGTTTCTTTGTTGATTATCTGATTTCTTCGGAAATGATTATCGTGTCAGTATAATGAATGTATGTCAGGTCAACAGCGAGCACCCATTGGCGAAGGCCATTGTTGAACATGCCAAAACATTTTGGGCAGAAGGGGACAAATCCATCTGGCCAGAAGCAAGAGACTTTGTATCTGTCCCTGGCCACGGAGTCAAGGCCATGGTTAGGCACAGAGAAATATTAATAGGAAACAAGAGCTTGATGCTGCAACACAACATGACTATTCCCGAGGATGCCGAGAACATACTAGCACAAGCAGAAAAAATGGCTCAGACTGGGATTCTAGTGTCCTTTGACCGAGAGGTGACGGGAGTGTTGGCCATATCGGATCCATTAAAACCAGGTGTACGTGAAGTTATCTCCATTCTCAAGTCTATGGAAGTGATGAGCATCATGGTGACAGGTGACAACTTGGGCACTGCTGAATCCATTGCCAAGGAGGTTGGCATTGAAACAGTTATTGCAGAAGCCAATCCGGTGCAGAAAACTGAGAAAGTCAAGGACTTACAGGTACTTAAACCATCTCCATCCATTCAACTATAAACCATAAGCCATGTCCATTGTCTCGATCCACTTAAAGTCAACATGGAAGTCTCTACTCGCTATCTGCAACTTATAGAAAGCTGTTGCTAGTTACACTATTAACACAACTTCACCTGTGACAATGACAGGCTTTAGGTTATACAGTGGCAATGGTAGGAGATGGGATCAACGACTCACCAGCACTCGTAGTAGCTGATGTAGGAATGGCGATCGGTGCTGGCACGGACATCGCAATCGAGGCTGCCGACATCGTCCTCATGAAGAGCAATCTGGAAGATGTGATAATGGCCATCGATCTCTCCAGGAAAACATTTTGCCGGATCCGGTGGAACTACATCTGGGCCTTCGGTTACAACGTCATAGGAATACCAATAGCAGCCGGGATTCTCTTCCCATTTACAAGATTCAGGCTACCACCTTGGATTGCTGGAGTGGCAATGGCAGCCTCCTCTGTCAGTGTCGTTTGTTCTTCTCTCCTGTTGAAGAATTACAAGAGGCCGAAAGAGCTGGACACTCTACCAATGCATGGGATAGCGACAGAATGATTTACCGCGAGGACCATTCCCATCAAGTGAACGCCCGCGAGTGATGCAAATCTACCTGACAGATCACTGAAAGTATGCATACGAAATTTACATGATTTACATGTGAGCATATTAGTCCCTCAATAGAAAGGAAATATTCTTCCAAGAAGATCCATTTAAAGATACGTTCTTCGTATCAGCATGAGTTGGATGATGAAATGACATCTCAATCAACTCAATATTTAAGTAATGCAATCAAGTCCTAAAATTTAATAAATTGGTGCAATTTCCGTCCAACTAGTTACGACAAATGCAAATGTGACATTTTTTATTATTTTTTGGAAGAGAGACATTGACGTGGCATCTGCAACTCTAGCATATTCTTCCTCCTTGGTCCGTCATCGCTTAAATCCGTCCACCACCATCGTTGCCCGACTCCAGGACTGCTCCAACCACTAGGCTGCGTTTGGTTCAGCATTGGGAAGGGGCTTTCAGCCCCGAAAGCCCCTTCCCAAAAATGCTGAACCAAACGGTTAGCATTGAGCATTGAAAATGCTCAAAACTAGCATTTTCAATGCTGAAAGCCCAATGCTGATCAGGACTAGCTTTGGACTTTCAGCCTTGAACCAAATGCCAAAATCATTTTTATACTTCCCAAACTACCCTCACTCAAATTTCAATATTCCGGCTTTGCCCTCTCGTTACTGTTCATCTTCTTCACCAAAGGGACTCCGGCGAGGGCAAAGGGCCGGCGACGGCGAAGGTCCGGCGAGGTCGCCCGACCCAGGCGACGGCCGCCCGAGGTCAGGCGATCGCCCAGGCGCGGCCGCTCGGGGTCGGGCGACCGCCCAGTGCGGCCGCTGGGTCCCGCGACCTCGGGCGGCCGTCGGCTGGGGTCGCGCGACCCAGCGGCCGTCGGCTGGGGTCGCGCGACCCAGGGCGGCCGTCGGCCGGGGTCGCGCGACCCGGGCGGCCGTCGGCTGGGGTCGCGCGACCCGGGCGGCCGTCGGCCTGGGTCGCGCGACCCAGGCGGCCGTCGGCTGGGTCGCGCGACCCGGGCGGCCGTCGGCTGGGGTCGCGCGACCCAGGCGGCCGTCGGCTGGGGTCGCGCGACCCAGCGGCCGTCGGCTGGGTCGCGCGACCCAGCGGCCGTCGGCTGGGGTCGCGCGACCCGGCGGGGCCGCGGCTGTGGTCGCGCGACCTCGGGCCTCGTCGCCCGAGGTCGGCGTCCCTCGCCGGGGGTCGCTCGGCGACGGCGACGGCCGCCGGCGCCAGATCTGGCTCGCCGGCGGCCGTAGCCCTTCGCCGGAGCCGGCGAAGGGTATTTTTGCCTTTTTTTTAAAAAAACCCCCTCAAAGTCCATTTGTAAAAAAAATTAACCAAACACCACTTGGGTCAAAATAGCTTTGCAAATGAGTTTTTACCAAACGCCATTTGCATTTTTCCTAAAGGGCTTCCACCCAAAGGCATTTGCATTCCCAAAGTAGCATTCCAAATGCTGTACCAAACGCACAATCTCCCAACTCCGATCCACCCATAACTATGTCCTCCTCATTGCCGTCTTCACGGTTAACCTCCACAAAACCACATTCAGAGGCTTGAGCGGCCATGGCCAAGCTTGACAAAAGTTGAGCAACCATGTGTCTCAGCCTAGAGAATTGGATCATTTGCGAGGAAGCACTATGACTAATCCATGAACGAGCGGGCGAACCTCGAGGATTATAACTCCTAAGAGTTTTCTCGGATGTTCTAGAATACTTCTGGAGGCCGGCGATATTATAATTGTACCCTCCTGTAATAAATAGAGGCAGATGGTAGTTGGGAGGTATAATCTCTACCGTTAGATTGAGGAGAGATCTACAAATACAATTGGTCGTGTACTTGTATATAAAGAGGTCTCCTCATCTCATTTGTACATCTCATTTTCAAGAGGAATATAATCCAGTTTCTCTAGAGTTTCTCTCTCTAAGATTCTTGTGAGTGAATGTGGAAAAGCCGACTTGAGAAGAAATTCCTAAGGCCGCACATGTAAAGGAACGCCAAATCGATCAACCTGTGACACATGGCTATGAGCTTGACAAAGATCGAAAATAAAAAATTATTAAAATATTATTTAAAAATATTCACGTCAGCGTCGACTGCGTCACGTAGGACGGCAGCCGGTGTTGTTAGCAATTTCCAGTCAAAATTGATCAAATGAAATGAAGTGACATAAATACAAAAGGTTTAGGACTCAATTGACAAAGATAAAGATTTAGAATTGAACTGGCACAATGACAATAATTTTAGAGTTTTTTTTGGTGATTCTCCCTTCTACCTTGAGAAGCTAGAGTTTTAGCTCCGTCACGTGTTTATACCAGCAGACTTCCCCTTTTTCGCTTAGTCCATCTGCACAAAGTTCATAAGTTTTGAAATCCAATTGTACTATTTAAAAGTTTTAGTACTCGATTGCATTTTCACAAGAAAACTTTAGTACTGCAATTATCTCCAATTTAAAACATAAACAGTTTACAAGATGAAAATCAGCCAGTAGCCAGTAAGCTGAGCTTCAACTCTGCAGATTTATTCCAATGATAGCGTAGTGTTGCATACAATTATTAAAAGCAAACATTCCCAAACTTGCGGTAGAGACCTTTGTAGGAGAACCAAGCATCTTCACCCTAATTTCAGAAGGACATCATTTACAAGTTTTCACATTTTCGAAGTCAATTTCCCTCTCGAATCAGCCAAAGTGTTTGCTCCTGCTGAACGCTGCATTTGAAATCTTGTCTTTGCTTTCATTAGGACTTGATGTACTTCATCAAAGTGTGGTTGTGTCGCTTTTCTTGTGCTCTCCATCCACTTTTGAACTTTCTTATAGGGAGCTAGAATGCGATCGCGGTCCTGGTCCCCAGTTACCTGAAGTAGAAAAAGAGCATTATTAGCTTCATTAGCAAACTTGTGTCCTTCAGGCAACTGCGCCTACCAAAGCCTCACACAAGCAATGAGGTACTGTTTGAATATTTTTCTTGAGGAAGAAGTATTTTCTGGAAAGCATAGCACAAAATTATTATCTTACAAAACTAGTTTTGCTAAGCTCCGATTGCTATATTTAATCTTTCAACGACTTAGCTTGCATATAATTGTATCCGTGTTCCACATTCAATCTGAAGTGATTACATGTTTATTACAAGAAAAGTGATTCCAAGTTGGGCCCTAGCCCCATCTCAGTTTCCTTTGATTCACAATGTAACAATATTCCTACTCAATCAAATAGTTTTTTTTCCCTAAAACAGAATATTAAAAAAGAGAATATGGAGCTCCACTCTGAATGTGTGCTCTTGGTAAGAAATATGCCGTCAGCCTTATGATTAAACCAAACTGATACATAAGTTAGAAGATAGAATAAGGAAGAAAGCACGACATGATCTGAAGGCAAGCAGCTGCCCTCTTGTCCACAATTTAAAATTTTCAGTAGAGTGATGCAATAAATTTATCGCTGACAAAAATAGGAAGGCAGAATAACACCTTTAGCTATATTAGCTTTCTTGGCCTACATCTTCTAACTTAATAATGACCTTATACTGCCTTAGTTTCTACCCTGTCACAAGATTGTCTCCCTCCATATTTTTTTCTGTAATAAAGAAAAGAATGAACTGGGGCAGAACTTACCTCTAATTGCATAATTTCACATACTAAGCTGAGGTCAGCAATGGATGGCTGAAAGCCACCTAGCAGAAATGGACCATTGCCTTTGAGCCAGATAGACTCTATCTTCAGCAAAGATGAGGACAGAAGTTTCTCACCCTCAGCAGCAGCTACTGGGTTCAGTGGTAGTCCAAGCGCGGGAGCCAAAGTAGTATTCAGAACATAGGCAGCTGAAACAAAGAAAAGTTATGTAATGTTCGATCTCGTATCTGAAGCAAGAATATATAAATAGGAAATGTTTTTCAAAGGTTGCACAATATGCAAAGAGGCCACATCACAAGCAAAACAACGTTAGAAATATCATTGTCAAATGTTCTACATTCAGATGGCTCTGCAAGATCACAAAATTCAAAGGCATCATAAATTTGGACAAAATAACACTAACTCAACTCCTATTTCACTGGAAAAAGTACTTTTCTTGGGTGAATACTCTGACACCCTTCATATTCTGGCAAAATTCCAGGGACACTGTCTGTCTTTTGAAAAATTAATCTGACACCCGTCAAAATTGTTTAATGAATTGAACTGATAGAATATGATAAGGCGGCATCAGTGTACATTTCCCGCACTCCAAATAGACTGAAAAATTGACCTAAAAGGCATCAATCTGTGTTATTCAGATTGAAGTTTAAATGGGCCATCCCTGTGCTACATTATCTAAAAATGTGAAGCATTTTGTCACCTGCTCCCCGTCGTAAATTGGAATGGTGCCAATCCAATGCTGAGTTTATCTTAGCTCTCCGGGAAAGATCAGCAGGGTACCTGTCAGAGTTTACAAGTTATCAAACAGCATGATGGAGAGATTGACTTAAATAAAATGCGAAAGGTATTTGAACATGATAATCATCCATCCAGTGAAAGAACACATGATCCTATGGCAAAGGAAGTAATATAATCGCAAAGTGAATTTCCATATTGAACGAAAAGTATCATTCTACTCCAGATATAAAAAACAAGCTATACATTTTCACTGTGAAACTATAATCATTAATACCAGAATTTCCTGGTACAATGGAAGGAAGGGGTAATAGCACAGGAGGAACTTTAATTGCTTAAGATTGCTCAACATGAACCTAGTGATTAAACATCAATTTGAGTCCAATTCTGAGCATGCACTTCCTACAGTTTAAAATGCTTTGAGTAGAATAAAAAGGATTACTGTGCTTACCAATGATCTGCAACCCCCGGAAATGCACAGCTAAGATAGATGAGAATAGCATGACTGCAAACATGAAAGTGAAACGAAACATTCTAAATCTCTGGAATATCTGCGGTGAAATATAATGGCAAATAAATATATTCTAATTCAGAATAAGATATAAAAAGTATCTGTTCAAGAGCATTCACCACAAACATATAAACTAACTCAAAAACATTGCTGCTAAGTTCACCAATGCATCAGGAATGACCTTTCATTTCCCTTCAAAATAAGAGAGATTCTGACACATTGACAAGATTACAGGAAAATCCAAAAGTGTGTGCATGTACCGTGATGTACACAGCACCTTCCCCTACAAAACCATATAATCGTACTAAAATAGTGATGTGGGGTAGTTCACACCAAAGAAAACTTTAGGAGGAATTAGAACTAAAGATGCACACTTGACTGTAATTAGTGATGCTTGCGAAACACACACACATATATATGCCACCTACAATCCAATATAAATATGGTCTAGTAGAGTCTTGGAGGGAATTAGTGCTGCTTAATTTCGAGTTAGAATAAGATATGCGGAAGAAGTACAAAAATGAAAAACTTATGGTGAATCTCTTTTCCAGGAAGCTTTTTGGGAGGTGTATTAATTTTCTAATGAACCACTTAAGCTGCTGTAACTTAGACACTGTATTTTCTTTTTCATTTTAGGCAATCTTTCGAAAATCAGAAAAAAGGTTCTCAGTCTTCTTAGCATATACATACTCTTGCACTTCAACCTTGACATAGCAAACAGAAAGATAGACAACTCCAGTACCTCTCAAAAAGCTTAAATCTCCCATCAACAATAGCTGGAACTTGTCCCATTGGGTTTACATCTGAAAATATGAACCACAAAAAAAAGTGTATACATAAGCTTTCCTCGGCAGTAACAACTATGCTAATTGTAGCCAAGAGAGAAAAACGACCTACAGAAAAGCTATCTACCCTTAAAAAGATATGTGATAAAATCCAGGTAGAGTGTCGTCTAATAACTCATAATGACCTTAAAGTACAATGGCAAATGTCTGATCCCAGGCAGAATTTAGGGCATAATTCGGGAATAATACAAGCAACTCATAAATCCATCAGGAAGAACAGAGCACAACCTTGACTCCAATGATTTCAAAGCACCTTTCTTCACATCTATGACTTGCTTCAACATCTTAACAATTTAGCCGAGGGAATAAGATTTACCCATTCAACATCTCATTTAATTATCGCTTGTCAGTCATATTCACCCAGCTATTCAACAAAAGCATCTCATCTTTCCTTGCAACCTATATTTCTTCCTTTATGGTTGCGGATATATCTGCTCAATCAGGCCGACTGGTACAACACAAAAATGGGCAATGTATTTATCATCATTCTTTAGGAGGCGTGGAGGTTCTTGAACTTATAGTGGGAGTCGAACAAAATTTGCCCTTTTCCAAACAAAAGAAAGCAAAGCAAGAACTACTTCCACATAGAAATTTAATTGGAATTCAATGAATTTCCAAGCTTCATTTCCAGTTTACGATAAACTTCAAAGCGCCAATCACTCGCGCAAGTAGAGACATCAGAAGCCATTAAGCTCTCTACGTGTCTAAACATGGATGGGTATACCGCCGCGTCCGATCGCCATCCAATGGGTTATCAAAAGATTGCACCTTTGCAGTGCCAATTTCATGCGAACCAACAGAATGCGCTCAAACCCAGTAAGACTACCAAAAATCACGGTACCGGGAGCCCACCTCTGAATTCAGGGGACCGATGCTGGCGCTTGAAGAGCTCTATCCTCACCTCCTCGAAGTCGATTCCATTGACCCTGAATCACGTGAGCTCAAGACCGAATCAAGAACCGGGAAAGCAAAGAAGAAGAAGAAGAAGAAGAAGAAAAGGGTATTGAGAATGGCGAGTATAAGACGGGATTGACGAGAGAAATCAGGGAATTCGTACTTGCAGAAGATGAGGACAGCGCGAGACGGCTGCGACATGCGGTCTGCGTAGACTTTGAGCTTCATTTTCGCTGCTTCTTTCCCCCGCTCTCTGCTGATCTGCTTGTGCCAGTGTTGCAAGAGCGAAGGAGGGAGAGAGAGAGAGAGACACTGTCTAAAGAAAAGAGGGGCTTTTTTTTTTTTTTGGTGGATTTGGGAGGTGCTGCAGTGCTGTCTTGTCTTCTTGCTAAGTGAAGTTAGCCCATACCGACCAAAAACAAAAGTTAGCCCATTTGCTTCGTCATTCTTGACTTTGGTCTTCTTCCTCCACAGTTTCGACTGACAAAGACACAGGTAAAAAAAAGCCCACGAGGAGGGGTTAGATGACTGAATAAATTATTTTACTTTTTTTTTTGGAAAATGACATAATTGATCCCTCAATTTTGACAAAAATGTTCAGTATGGTCCCTAAATTTTTAATTTATTTATTTTGATCCTTTAAATTTTGGTACATCATCAAATTAAAAAATATTTAATGTGATTCCTGAATTTTTAATTCGTTCAATTTGATCCATGAACCATGTTCAATTTTCATATAGTCTAGGTACTAGTTTGAACATGTACCAAAAGTTCAGGGACCATATTGAACGAGTTAAAAGTTCAGGGACCGCATTGCATTTTGAGCTAAAATTTAGGGACCACATTGAACAAACTAAAAGTTTATGGACCACATTATATAATGAGCCAAAATTCATGGACTATTTATGTAACTATCTCTACTTTTTTCAACTGTAAGAAAAAGATTTTAAATTTTCTTTGCACCGACAATATATCCTCTGTTTTTTATCGACTCGAATTACGACGAGATACTGTGATCTTTCTCCGGGGATCCTAGAAGGGTCAGAGCACTAAACCTCTCATGTGTCTTTGACAATAACAATGAGAAAATTTCGAGGATGTAAATGAATGCTATTACTAAGTCATATAGATATGTTGATTCTCAAGTTGGTTCGTGTTCATTACCCCGCGTATAAAGTAAAGGTCTAATTTTTGAAATGATATTATCAGTGCGATTCTCACTTAACTGTTGCAAGCCGAGTCATTCTTCGAAAATGTCCCTATAGGTGCAAAAGGATCACATTAATATATTGTACCGATCGCAATTTAAATTAACTTATGGCAAATTGGTTTGGGATCACGAGGCACTTTGGAATTCGATGTCCATTGCATAATGCATTTTGGAGTTAACCCTCGTCTTAATAAGACATTTCATCAAGTGATATGTAATTTTCATTTTGATCATTATATCTCGTGTAGTAGTCCTTCCCCCTTAATTTTTGTCAGGTTTATCAAGGATCTATACCCGATAAGACCATCATCAAAGGCGATTCCTTTAGAACCTCTCTTAAAAGTTACATAGGAAGACTAATTTTAAAATTAAAAGCACCATAACTGCAGCCCACGTTAAGATAATTAAAGTTTATTAATGACCAAATGAGCTCGACTGCACCAATCATGCTAGCCGAAAGACTTAACTGTACAAACAAAAGATCTGAGGACTCAATTACATAGAACGGCACAAATTTGGGGATCAAAAATAAAAATCGCCCGATAATAAGATATAATCCAATCTTTTCTTTGCTATGAGAAGATGGATTGAATGGGTTTGGTACCTACCTCATCCTCCTCCACTAGAATGATTAGGATAAGACAGCCAACGAAACACAAATTACCAACTGGAGCGCTTGTGACCTCAACCTCAATATGTCCGAGTGGAAACGACCCAAACCGGCAATACAACTAAGTCTAAGCCCGCCCTTCACACACCAACCGAGGTTTCCCAAGATCGACGATGAATTAGGGAATCAAGGTTATGATCTTCAACTTGAAAATCAGGTCTTGGATCATTAGACCAATCAATTGGGAAGCTCACTCCAAGACATTGTTTGATGATCATCTTGGAGTTCATCGCCACCGGGGGCCTTGGCCACTAGCCTTGCAATTAGGGTGAGCCGCGCCAATCCATTCTTTATTATAAAGTGTCGGTGCCTGCATACCCCAATTCCTCCATTGGGATAGTATCTCTTTCTTGCCCCGTCCCTAACAATACTCTCTCAATTTCTTAACGTCTTGAGGTTCAGACATAATCTTTTAAGGACTTGCTAAAGTCCTATGGTGGTATAGCCCTATCTCTAAAGACGCGAGGAAGTAAATGCGTTCCTTCTCTGCTCGTCAATCCACGGGAGAGGGGCAATAATAACTCTCCATCCACGTGTGGTACGTACCATATATTAATTAGCTAGTCCAATCCATGCTACAAAATCTCATACGGACTCCCATGATCTCTTTGCAATGATGTTCGCATTCATTTCTCATTTACTGCCCCATCATCTACTTTTGTTCACCGGGTCGGAGTAGAATAATTATAGATTTCGTGTGGGGCAGTCTCATTCGTATTGTCTCACCTAATTTCCAATACGTTGATGTTTTATTAAGCCGGACGTCCAATTTCCATTTTTCAGTTAAAATGGAGTTTCCATGAGCTCGTCATTGTAGCTTAGTGTCCCATTTTGGTTTGCTTATAATTATGCCATCGTTCGTTGTGTCGTGATGTGTTATAACTTTTGACACGCATTCAATAGTATGCATGTGGAAGCGGTGTTATCATGCGATGGCGCGAAAATCCCGATACGCCGTTATCAGGCAATGGGTAAAAATCTCGACACATGGATATATATCATGTTGTGTGGTGTGGTGACTTGATCTCATTCATTTAGTTAAATGTCTCCATCTTAATACATATACAAAATCACAACGACAATTGGGCGTTCGATCGTAAGGATGATATCAAAGTCAGGTTGACATATGAAGTAAGTATTGCACATGGGACTTTCTTTTAATTTCCAAAACTGGACAAGATAATCTCTTACTAATGATGTTGAGGGTGTTGCAAGTAGCAATCAAGCTATCATAAGGCGTTCATCGATCAATCACCCTAAAAAAAATTAAATCGCTATTTCTGAAAGGATAACTGTTACGAAGAAGCTATATCAGGCATCATTTTAATAGGGCTAGAGAGTTATGATCGTTTCCATTTTGTGACGCGCCTAAACCAAACAACCCAATAAAGCAGACCTTACACCTATCCTAGATTAAAATTAGGAAACAGACAAACCTTAGTTATAACCTAGATAAACGTTAGCATTACAAAAATGTGTAAGGACTGCATTCGGTAGCCATGCGCTACATTCACAAGTCACGTTCCGAAAAATGCACGTATATCACAAATGACATAGAGCAACATAAGTTTTTTTTCAATAAATATCTTTTATCTGTATGAATCTTGTTGACCAATGTCTTGTGAACACTTAATAAGCAATGGAGTAATAATAGTTTACAATGTTTAATATATTGCTTTTCTCGTGTCATGTGTAATTGGTATCTTGAAATTGAATTTAGCAAGTGTATCGTGACACTCATTAATAAAATCGGGTTTATATGTTGTGGCTTTTCTATGAATATAACTAAGAAGAAATAATGCCACAAATAATTCGTGAACTTTGGCTCAATCAATTGGCTCAATATAGTTCATAAACTTTAACCTAATGTGCAATATTATCCCTAAATTTTTTATACATGTTCAAACTAGTCCCTAGATTATTATGAAATGTTCAATGTTGTCCTTAAACTTAAATTAATGAAAGGAAATATTTTCGTATAATTGAGGAATTAGTTTGAATATGTATCAAAAGTTCGGAAATTACATTGAATAAATTAAAAGTTCAGGGATTACATTACTTATTGGGCCAAAATTTAAGCTCCCTTTGTGTCATTTTCCTTATTAAGAGCTACGAATACAGGTGCATGGTAATGAAGTGAGGCAAACCGCACGCTAACACATTGATGCTTCTCGCCTCGGGAAGCGAAGCAGGAGAAATTGGGGGAGGAGACCAGACCAGTGACCTTGAATGACTCTCCCTCTCTCTGTCTCTTCCCTCCGGGACCCATCATTGTAATGGCTGCATTGCTGTAAATTTATTTCTCTTCTTGGTTCCAAGTGCCCACCCATCTCTCTCTCTCTCTCTCTCTCTCTCTCTCTCTCTCTCTCTCTGCTTCTGAAGTTCCCATTTGGCTGATGAACGGTATAGTCGCCCTCTCCTTCCTGTATTCTAGTACTCTTTTTCAACACCGTCAACAATGCGTGCCTCTACCTCAGTGTCCTGTTCTTAGAGCAGCTCCAAAGCGTGTGCACCAACATAGATTGTTCAACTCAAAGTCGGTTTTTTTGTTGTGCGAGGGTGTGTTCTTGATTTCCACATTTGATCTTGCCATTCCAAAAGGAGTCGGTCCATTTTGCTTGAAAAGATCTCAGCAATGGCATTTACATTTTGGTGAGTCATGAGTCTTTAGAAAGTTCTTTATGAGCGCTTCATAAACGATAATGCATTTCAGCCTTTTTACCTTTTCTTCTCTCTCTCCCCTGCAATAAATGACAAACAAGCGTTTCAACGTCTTTATTTGGGTGTATCCTTCGTTTTCTCTTTTGAATTTTGCCCCACCAAACAACACATGGGTTGTTTTTCCAAAAAAAAGACAACACCAGCGCAAGCGGCTTTGGAAAAATCAAGAATGCCTCGTCTCTGCGATGGGTTCTCTGTGATGAGATCGTGAAATGATCCACAGCTTCGTGGGTTTTTCTCCTTTCTCCATTCTTTCCCCTTCACTGAATCTGTCAGATATTTTTCATAGCGCGGTTCGATGCATATTTTATCAGATCCCCGTGTACTATTTGCCAGTATAATGCTTGCATTAGTCACCTTAAGGCATGTGTCCTAACCGCTCTTTCAGGATCTACGAACTCGTCGTGTAATGCACCTGATTCATTTTTATTTTCCGATTATTTTACAGTTTCTTTTGGCTCATTGTTTGGCGTTGTTAGCAAAAAAAATGGTTTCAGATCATTTTACGAGGGAGACCACATGCACCTAAACAACTGTTGACTCTGTTTGCTTTATTATTTTAATTGGCTCACTTTTCATCACTTCAAGTTACGATCTCTCTTTATTTCCGCGTTGCCAATAGAATTTGCAGTACGAGACAAGAAAGAAGCGATCTTGTGGGCTCTGTAATGGTGCTAGTTATCAATCTCCCTTTGATTCTGCTAATTTGTGAAGGCAGGGTCCTAACTTCTAGCTTGTATATAATTTATTTTTTATGCTTGCTATTGTTTTATTTAGAGTTCCTCTTTTGTCTCTGTCCAATGCTTCCAAATACAATGCCAGGGATTAATTATTAATTGGTGTCCATTGAAACAGTAAGAAAGTTGAAAAGCTCTATGTTCCGTGCATATATGGCGAGGCGATTGATGTGTTGTCGAATTGAGATTTGATCTCGGGTTTCCATGTCTTTCATGGTTTCAGAGATTGGAGCTACTGCTAGAGTGGGTTGCGTGTGAACTAGTGTTTTGCTGTTCAAAAGCTGGCTTCTTCAACAAAAAGACTCTTCTTGGATTCTTTCACTGCTTGACTTGAGCTTTAGAGGTAACAGTCGATCAGATTCTTAATAATCACTGATTTCTAGCTGATTCTGAGAGTCAGAAGGCTTTGATTTGTTCAGTGTGCCTTATCTTAGTGTCCTGACAGATCCAGATGGTTATAGCTTATCCAGTGTTCGCATATGTGTAGCTACTTAATCATGTACATGCTGAAGAGTATTATTACCTGACTATTGAATGAATCTGGACCTTGTAAAGGGACAGCCATTACAACGTACGCCATCCCTCTGTCTCTTGCCTTCAGCGCTTTGTAGGAGTGCTCTTGTTGAATGCTTATTTGTAGATTCATTTGTGTCTGACTTGATTTATCTCTTTGGTCTCTTTGAAAACACTTGTTGATCTCGAACTTGTTCTTAATTGAACATCGCTATATCCAACTTGATTCCTCCACTGAAGATGATAATAATATCTCTCTTCTTCTATTACTCAGAATTGAAATTTGCGCTTCCAACATCACTCTTTTATCTATTCTTTTCTCTGTTTCTTTTATCTATTATCTTTGGTCCTTTTACCGTGAGTATGCTGTTGTTAAACCAAAAGGTGATTGCTTGAAACTTTTTCTGCTTTGCAGGAAGCTGTGATCTCAACGATGAGTAACCTCAAACTAGGAGTAGATGTTGTCGGTGCTCACAATCTTTTGCCAAAAGATGGGCAAGGTTCATCCAATGCATTTGTGGAGCTCTTTTTCGATGGGCAGAAGTTTCGGACCACCATCAAAGAAAAGGATCTTAACCCCATTTGGAACGAGAGCTTCTACTTCAACATCTCCGACCCTTCCAATCTCCATTACCTCACTCTGGACGCATACATCTACAATACCATCAAGGTCACCAACACCAGAAGCTTCCTTGGGAAGGTTTCCCTTTCCGGCACTTCCTTCGTTCCCTACTCTGACGCTGTTGTGCTTCACTACCCACTGGAAAAACGTGGCATTTTTTCGCGTGTGAGGGGGGAGCTCAGCCTGAAAGTGTACATCACTGACGACCCAAACATAAAGTCTTCCAACCCACTGCCGACAACCGAAGTCTCTCAAAAGGATCCAAGTGCAAATGTCCCAAACATGGTTTCTAACACGGGCCATGCTGAGAAAGGTGGGGTGAGACACACATTTCACCACCTCCCGAACACGAATAATCAACAGCAACAGCAAGTTCCTGTTGCGCCGGAAATTCCTCATAGGGACCAGGTGCCTCAACATGATCATGGGCCAAAGTACGGCATCGACCATATGAAAGCAGAACCGCATCCTCCGAAGCTGGTCCGGATGTACTCTGCAGCGTCGTCCCAACCAGTTGAGTATGCCTTGAAAGAGACGAGCCCATTCCTCGGAGGGGGAAGAGTTGTTGCGGGCCGTGTTATTCGCGGTGACAAGACAGCAGGTACTTATGATCTCGTTGAGCAGATGCATTTTCTCTACGTGAGAGTTGTTAAGGCTCGTGAGCTTCCGGCCATGGATGTTTCTGGTAGTATTGATCCGTATGTCGAGGTGAAAGTGGGGAACTATAAGGGAATTACTAAGCACTTTGAGAAAAAGCAAAACCCAGAGTGGAACCAGGTGTTCGCTTTCTCGAGGGAGCGGATGCAAGCATCCGTGCTAGATGTTGTTGTCAAGGACAAGGATCTCGTCAAGGACGACTTCGTTGGAATTGTGCGCTTCGATGTTAATGAGGTCCCACTTAGGGTCCCGCCGGATAGCCCCCTGGCACCGGAGTGGTACCGGCTTGAAAATAAGAAGGGAGAGAAGATAAAGGGAGAGCTGATGTTAGCAGTTTGGATCGGCACCCAGGCTGACGAGGCCTTTCCCGATGCTTGGCACTCCGATGCCGCGACACCTGTCGATGCTACGCCGACGGTCTCGACCCTGATACGCTCAAAGGTCTATCATGCACCGCGGTTGTGGTATGTGAGGGTTAATGTTGTGGAGGCTCAAGACTTAGTTCCGACCGAAAAAAATCGTTTCCCTGATGTTTATGTTAAGGCTCAGATAGGGAACCAGATAATGAAGACAAAGACAGTTCAGGCTCGGGGCTTCAATTCCTTGTGGAATGAGGATCTTTTATTCGTTGCTGCCGAACCTTTCGAAGACCATCTGATCCTTTCAGTTGAGGACCGTGTAGCCGCTGGCAAAGACGAGATCCTTGGGAGGGTCATCATCTCTTTGGCATCGGTGGAGAAGCGCGCAGATGATCGGATCATCCACTCTCGCTGGTTCAATCTAGAGAAGCCTGTAGCCGTAGATGTGGATCAGATAAAGAAAGAGAAATTTTCGAGCAAGATCCATCTCCGAGTTTGTCTAGATGGAGGATATCATGTTCTTGATGAGTCAACTCATTATAGTAGCGATCTGCGGCCAACTGCTAAGCAGCTATGGAAGCCATCAATTGGTGTTTTGGAACTCGGAATTCTGAACGCCGTGGGCCTTCACCCGATGAAAACACGGGACGGCAGGGGCACGTCTGATACATATTGTGTTGCCAAGTATGGTCACAAATGGGTCCGCTCGCGCACCATTGTCGACAATCTGTGTCCGAAATATAACGAGCAGTACACTTGGGAGGTTTTTGATCCGGCCACGGTTCTAACGGTAGGTGTATTCGATAACAGCCAGCTGGGTGAAAAAGGTGCAAATGGCAACAAGGACCTGAAAATCGGGAAGGTGAGGATCCGCATTTCGACCTTGGAGACGGGTCGTGTCTACACGCACACGTATCCACTCCTAGTGCTCCATCCTACAGGAGTAAAGAAGATGGGAGAGTTGCATCTGGCAATACGGTTCTCGTGCACATCTTTAGTGAACATGCTTTACATTTATTCGCGTCCGCTTTTACCTAAGATGCATTATGTGAGGCCCTTCAATGTGATGCAGCTCGACATGCTCCGCCACCAAGCTGTCACCATAGTGGCAGCAAGACTTGGCCGGGCCGAGCCTCCGCTTCGGAAGGAGGTGGTGGAGTACATGTCTGATGCGGACTCACACCTCTGGAGCATGCGCAAGAGCAAGGCAAACTTTTTCCGTCTGATGTCGGTTTTCTCCGGACTGTTTGCTTTGGGAAAATGGTTTGGGGATATTTGCTTGTGGAGGAATCCCATTACAACTGTGCTCGTGCATGTGCTCTTTGCGATGCTCGTCTGCTTCCCGGAGCTGATACTGCCCACTACATTTCTGTACATGTTTCTGATCGGAGTATGGAATTTCAGGTATCGCCCCAGGTACCCTCCCCACATGAACACCAAAATCTCGCAAGCTAATGCGGTACATCCTGACGAGCTGGATGAAGAATTCGACACATTCCCAACCACACGCAGCCCGGATCTGGTGAGGATGAGGTACGATCGGCTCAGAAGTGTGGCTGGTAGGATTCAGACCGTGGTTGGCGATGTGGCGACCCAAGGAGAGCGGCTTCAGGCTTTACTGAGCTGGCGGGATCCACGTGCTACGGCAATCTTTGTCACTTTCTGCCTCGTCGCTGCGCTCGTATTGTACGTGACCCCCTTCCAGGTGGTGGCAGGATTGGCGGGATTTTACATGATGAGACATCCTAGGTTCCGTCACAGGCTACCTTCGGCACCGATCAACTTCTTCAGACGCCTGCCAGCCAGAACTGACAGCATGCTGTAAAAATGTAAAACCGATGTTCTGGCCTGTCTAAATCTAAATTTATCCTAGTTCTCTTTCTAGTGTGAATCTTGTATTGTGGCCTTGCGGTCCTGAATTCTGTTATTAGAGTAATAACTTTAGACTATTACTGGATTCAGCTGTTTTGGGCAGATCAGTGATGGACATATAGTAGTCGAAGACTTTGAACTGGTTGTCTAAATATTACGCTCGGTGGCGCATGTTCGCCGTGGCAAACTCGATTATCCACGTCTTCTTGTTCTTGTCAATCGTACATGCATCAATGACTCGACTATAAGGAGAGAAAAGTCAACCATTACAAATATGAGTCGAGTCTTAACATTTGTTAATTTCTTGCACTTAAATCCCAAAATTTTCAATTTGTGCATTTAAGTCCTAAAACTTGTCAACTTAAGTGGACAATTTTAGGCCTTTTTTAACTCTTCCACCTGATCTCCCCATAACATAGACAGTGATTGGACAAACGACCATGTTTACATTCCAAACTCTGGCACCAGATCCTTGTGTTTATGGTGAATTAGCCTAGTGGAGATTTCACATGTTAGTTTCACATACCAGAGTGATGCAGGGATTTTCCCGTACTTACGTATCCTTTTGAGCGAAGCTAGCAGCGTCGGGGTCAAGAGCGAGTGATGTAGAGGGGTGATACAACTGGTTCTTGAGAGTGGCGCCAAGGCATTTGTGCTAGGAGTTCTAGGATAAAACAGTTATATCTTTGGGGAGTTCCGAAGGCGGGATTGGCCTCCGTGCACAAATTAGTTGGGAGTTGATGCTGCTTTCCTAATAAGGTCATGGCAGGCCGAAATTAGTTGTTTCACCTAAAATGTTTTGTGTGTCTCGAGCTAAGCTAAGCATAATGTGAACCGATATGAGAATGCTACTCGCCATGCTGTTCTCTAGAACAACTATAGAATGAAGGCTTGTCTGGTGTCATCTCGACTTGCCAGGCACTGCACGAGCTATTTCTCGGCCAAGGAACTGGTGGCCCATGACAGATGGCATTGGAGTAGGATCCCTGCAGTAAGTGGATGATTTGGGGGAAAAACCCGTGGTCCACTTGGTTCTATGAGGGTGTAGGGGTTCGGACAAAGTACGGCTCTTGATTTCCTTCTAGGATGACAATGGGAGCACGGGAAGGAACCAAATTGCTCCATAAATAGGGAAACTCTGGATCAATTGGCGAATCTCAAGATGGGTCTGCTACAACGTTTTTAACAAGAAGAGAAATCTCCATTGGTCTGCTAAGATCAATAGAAGCTTAGTAGGCGAAAGAGAGTACTACCAAAAGTGCAGTTGGCTCCAAATGCCACATTTGTTAGGGAAAGCACAAGTGACCAGAAATGCCCGAACAGCTTTGATCAAGGGAAACCATCAATGGAGTGCAATGGCCTATTCTGTTGGGCGAGCGTCCCTATTCATGTAAGATTCGACCAAACGGCGTTGATGGTACCAAAGCGACGTAGGGAAGCGACAGAACAGCCCGCAACGAGGACGTTGTGGAAATGAATAAGGGAGAATGTCATGGACCGGAGTGACGCAGGGATTCTCCCATACTCACGTACCCTTGTGAGCGGAGCTAGTGGCATCAATGTGAAGAGTGAGTGATATAGAGGGAATGATACAATTGATTCTAGTTCGTGGAAGCGGCGTCAATGTGAAGAGTGAGTGATATAGAGGGGATAATACAATTGGTTCTGGTTCATGGAAGTGGCATCAAGGTGTTTGTGTTAGGAATTCTAGGATGAAACGGTTATATATGAGAAAGTTCTAAAGGCAGGATTAGCCTCTTGTGCACAAACTGGTCAAAAAGCTGATGCCACTCTCTCGATGTGGCCATGACAAGCCGAAATCAGTTATTGTGCCTGAAGTGTTCTATGTATCTCGTTCGAATGACAGAATGCCCGAGCTAAACTAATGTAGTATTGATATGATATGAGAATGATATTTGCCTTACTGTTTTCTAGAACTGTTAAACTATGTCTCCAATTTGAGTCGTTGAACAAAATACGCTGAAATTAAAAATAAGAAAGTTTGGATTGTTGTCTCTCTTTTTTTTTTTTTTGGTGCGTGAAAACATGTCCGATTGCTCTCGGCTGAAATCTTCAGAGGAATAAAAGAAAAAGGAAAGTTTCCTTTTTGATTTAAGCTTGTTTTATTATTTTGGTCAGCTTCCAGTTGAGGGGTTCACTTTCTCTGTTTGAATTTTGTGGGTTTCTATTTGTTTGGTCGCACAAATGGTAGTGCTTATCCTCTGATTTACTTCTTCAGCCGCACAAGAAAGTCAACTCTGATTAAAAATGAAAGGCCGGAGGAAACACTTTAACGTGTGAGCGATTGTGAGCGATTATAAGCGATTGTAATTTCGATTCTTCGATTATAGTGGATTATTTGTAACTGGCTCTCTCCGTGGACATAGATACTGACACTCGGACCGAACCACGTAGATCGCTTGTGTCCTTTATTTCTCTGGTAATTTCGCATTAACTTGATTTGCAAAATCCTGTTGTTTCCGTGATAATTGCACAACTTGACCCACATATCAGGCTTTTGCTGCGTTCTCCCAACAAGAACAACTATAGAATGAAGGATGGCCCGGTGTCATCTCGACTCGCCAAGCGTGCTATCCCGCGGCCAAAGAATTGCCGGCCCTTGACATTAGGAGTTTTGTCTAAAGAGAACGGATAACAAATAGAGAATCGAACAAGATGTCACCACATAAAATATATTCTAGAGTTTCCAAACCGGATGATCATGTTTGTGCTTGGTTGGGAGCTATCCAAATTTGATGTAATTTTAAAGTGGTTTCAAACCAAAATTTATGCAAATAATACTGGAGTTAATTATTTAGCTAAACGGCTGAATTGACCTGCTTGATATTCTTCTCAGCATTCACTGATGGCGCTTTCGACAACCCATTCGGGAAACATTTTTCTTTTCATTCAACGACGGCATTCTTTTGAAACGTGCATGCAGCTTCAAATCCCTCCATCAGGACGTGCCCGCCATGTTCAGGATCACCGACTAGAGAGACAGAGCAGCCTCAAATTCACTAGAAAACTGCAAGCCAAAGCCCACGAAAGCTAAGCAACACCATCTTGTTCTCCTCCCCTCAAGAAAATAATGGCAATCTCAGTGTCCAAGAAAAAAACCAAAGCAACCAAAATGGCGGAGGAGAGACAGGATTCTTGCTGTTGTTTCTTCAACACCCTCCTGTGCAGAGTCATTTTCAGGGTCCCTACTGTGATTCTCCTCTTCATCCTCATCTTCTTGTGGTCCTCCTCGACCACTATCATATCAGGAAACATGGTCCATGTCTGCATTTCGTCGCGCAAGCTCAACAACCTCTACTGCCTCTCGGCAGGTGCACAACCCAATGCCTCCGTGTCCAGCAAAGCTACGCCTAGCACCATTAATGGAGATTCAAAAGAGATGATGAATCCTGTTTCGAATATCAAGAAAACCTTTGATGATGTACGGGAAGATGAGGAGGTTGCGAATGCCATGAGGTTGGTCGAGGAGCAGATGGAAATGCAGCGGTCCTGGATCTCGCACTCGAACAATCAGAGTTGCGACGAGAGGGGGATATTCGTGTACGACTTGCCTCCAAAGTTCAACAAGGACCTCTTTTCTCAGTGCAACGACATGATTCCTTGGACTGATTTCTGCAGATACTTCACAAACGACGCGATGGGCGAGCCGATACCGAAGCTCGGCAGGAACTGGTACCAGACCCATCAGTACTCTCTGGAGCCAATTTTTCACTCCAGAGTTCTGAAACATCCTTGCAGGGTCTACAATGAGAATGAGGCAAAGCTGTTTTATGTGCCATTCTATGGTGGCTTGGACATCCTGAGATGGCACTTCAAGAATGTGACAAATGATGTGAAGGACACATTGGCATTGGAGCTCATGAAGTGGCTTCAGCAACGGCGGCCGTGGCTCAAAAACTCTGGCAAAGATCATGTTTTTGTGCTGGGCAAGATCTCATGGGATTTCAGGAGATATAGAGGCTCCGAATGGGGAAATCGGTTCCTAGAGCTTGATCAAATGCAGAACCCGATCAAGATCTTGATCGAACGGCAACCTTGGCATGCAAACGACGTCGGTGTCCCCCACCCCACCAGCTTCCATCCCCACTCAGATGACGACATCGTCTCCTGGCAGCAGAAGATCATCGGTTCGCGCCGCAAGTACCTCACGAGCTTCGCTGGGGCCGCGAGGCCTGAATTGCCCGACAACATAAGGACGTTGCTGATTGAACAGTGCAATTCAGCCGGCGAAGGGAAGTGCCACTCCGGCCAGTGCACCGGTCCCGAGACCGTCATTGAGCTCTTCACGGAATCCGAATTCTGCCTGCAGCCTCCTGGGGACAGCCCGACGAGGAAGTCACTGTTCGACTCCCTCGTGGCGGGCTGCATACCGGTGATGTTCGACCCTTTGACGGCGTATTACCAATACCCGTGGCATTTGCCAGAGGACCGCGGCAAATTCTCGGTGTTCGTGGATCAGGAGGAAGTGAGGCAGGGGAAGGTGAACGTGGTGGAGAGGTTAATGAAGATCCCTGCGCAGGAGAGGGAGGACATGAGGAGCTACATTGTGTATGAACTCGTGCCAGGTTTGGTCTATGGTGATTCGGATTCAAGGTTTAGCAAGTTTCAGGATTCTTTTACCATAACAATGAACAACCTGCTGGAGAGAATGAGAAGACTATAGTTGATTCCATTAATATGTTACACGTTATAAAGTGATTGTTTTTCTTCTTTTTCTTTTTCTTTTTTGTTTTGGGTTATTCATTAAGCTTTTTGTTTGTTTGTCCAAGACAAGATCCTGCAAATTGCGAAGGATAATGAGAATATTTCATGAGTTGACTGCAACATCTTTTCTCTCTTACTGCAATTGGACTTTCCGCCGACTAATAATCTCCACGGATACATTCAACCTGCTTTGTCTTTACGTATCGGGTAGAACCCCATCCACAATGCAGAAGGCACGATCTCTAGGATCGCTAATAGGAGACACTTGTGATTCCAACTCAAGATTTCTTACCTCAGAGCGCTTCACCACACGATCAATCAGAGTAAAATGATCAAATTTCACTGCCAAAAACCGTTTCCACATACATTCGATCTAACTCCGACCACGATTTACTCCCCAAATATTATATTGCACGACGGTTCCATGAAAACGACATTCTCTTCCCAGATGAATCAATTTTGAGATTTAAGAAAATCGTCCATAAATTGGGAAAATTGTCCAAAGAGTCTTAAACTTATTGCATCTTTGCCAAATCAGTCATAAACCTTTTAATTTTGCCAATTGAGTTCTAAACATTTTCACTTCTTGCCAATTAAGCCAATTCGACCAATTTTGGCTAGAAATCGCTGATGTAGAAGCAGACTGGGCATGCGGCATGGACGTGGACATTTTAAAATAATATTTTAATAATTTCTGAATTTTTTATGGTTTTTTTTTCCTTTTCTCTATTTTATGTTTTTAGTTTTGGAGTTAAGGCCGGCAAGGGTGGTCGGCCGACCCTCACTGGCCAAAGTCAAGGCCGCCAAGCCCTCGCCTAGCTAGATCTAGTGAGGGTGTGGGCGAGAGCGCCTAAAGCCGGCGAGGGTCGGTCGGCCATCCTCGCCGGCCCTAACTCTAAAACCCAAAACAAATAGAGAAAAGGAAAAAAAAACCATAAAAAATTTAGAAATTATTAAAATATTTTTTTAAAATGTCCACTTCAGTGCCACGTAACCAGTTGGCGTCCACGTTAACGATTTCTGACTAAAATTGGCCGGATGGATTCAATTGGCAAGAAGTGAATAGGTTTAGGACTCAATTAGTAAAATTGAAAGGTTTAGAACTGAATTGGCAAAGGTGCAATACGTTTAAAACTTTTTGGACAATTTTACCTCCATAAATTAATGCCACGATTGAATTCAGGAAGCGTCCATCTTCCATTGGAAATAACTCCAAACCTGAACTATGTGAACTGAATATTTTTTAGGAGCCGCGACCAAATTAAGGCCCACCTAACAAGCGGCCAGGAAATGGTAAGACTGCTCACGTCATTGCACATCTCACAATTGAGTATTTTTGCATTACAAGCCAAAAATAGGAAATACGTATCCAGGCAATTTTCAGATCATTCTTAAAAGTATTATAGAATACTCGTAACTTGAATACATGGCCACTGAGTAGAATGCACGATGACCTCATTTTGTTATTAAGGTCGAGGCAGTCCATCAACAATGAAACTTATTTGTTTCTTAAAAAAAAAAATATGAAGGTGAGTTAAGGGTTTGTTTGGTAACACTTATCTTTCTATTTTTCTGTTCTTTTGTTCCTCGGAACGGAAAGAACATAAATCTACTTGGTAACATCAGTTAATTTTTCTATTCCCCAGAATAGATAAGGGCCCGTTTGGCAAGTTACCAAATAGTGAAAATTTCTGTTCTTTTGTTCTCAACCCAAAAATCCGTTTGTTAAAATTTTTGTGCCCGGGCACAAATTTGCAAAAAATTATTCCAAGAATCAGTTTTGGAACAGAATCAAGAACTAAAAAAAAGTAGCTTCTTAATTCTTGGAACAAGAATCAGAATTGGCAAAGAAATTTTTTTTTCTTCTTCTTCTCTCCCGTTCTTTCTATTCTTCTTCTTCATTCTTCGGCCACCGGCGACACAGGCGAAGGCCGACGCGACCCTCGCCGGCCACCCTTGCCTGTGGTCGGCGAGGGCCGCCCTCGCCGGATCTGGCGAGGGTGGCGGCGAAAATCCAGCCCTCACTAGATCCAGCAAGGGCGACCCTCACCCAATTCGCTCGCCGACTCGGGCGACCCTCGCCGACTCGGGCGAGGGCTAGAAAAGGCCAGCGAGAGCGACCCTTGCCGGATCCGGTGAGGGCCGCGATGCCCTCGCCGGCCATGGCCGAGAAGGAGGAGAAGAAAAAAAGAAAAGAAAAAAAGAAATATTAAAATATTTAAAAATATTATTTATAAAAAGAAATTTTGTGTCGTTACTAAACGTATTTTTATTCTTTTTCTATTCCAGGAATGGAAATTTTGAACCGTTACCAAACGCCTTCAAATGCTCAAGATCAGTTTTCGGGCACAGAATCGTTGCCATACGCGCCCTAAGTGGCAAGGAATAGATTTGGAATATACACAAAAAGTTAAAAAAATCTAGTTTTTTGTTCTCAGGAACAATTTTTGTAACAAGGCCATTTTCTTTTATTTCTTTTCTTTTTTTTCCTTCCTTCTTTTTCCTCCGCTAGCCGGTTGCTAGGCCTCGGCGATGGTCGGCGACTGGCCAAAGACGAGGGCTGGCGAGGTCAACCTCGCCGATCTCGGGTGAGCCTTGCCATGGTCGGGCATCGGCCTCACCATGGCCGGGCGAAGCTAACCTCGTGATGGCTGGGCAAGGCTCGACCTTGTCAGTCGCCAAGGCCCGACGGCCAATTAGAGGAGAAAGAAGAAGGGAGTAAAAAAAGAAATATATGAAAAAAATTAGAAAAATCTCAGAAATTATTTAAAAATTAAAAAAAATTCCACGTCACAAAAAAAATGACAAGGTCATATCAAATGCGTTCTTGTGCTCAGAAATTTGTCCAAGAAAATAAAAATGGAAAAAAAACTATTTCTGAATATAAATTGTTCCCGAAAACAGAAAATGTTACCAATTTACGTTGACAAGAGACTTGTGAATAAGCACTTCCGAATTATATCACGACATTATTTACCCAAATTATTCTTTTCTTTTCTTTTCTTTTCTTTTTAGCTGCGAATAAGCAGTTCCGAATTATTCTTATTTGATTGCTTAACTAAAAATACTTTTAAAAACGAAATCTGCTGCGAAATTTGATTCTGAAACACGCATCAAAATCAAAAGGGAAAATTTCAAATCAGTACCCAAGTGGGGTCATTTTCTCAAAAAAGGGTTCAAAGTGGACATAGTGTCAAATAAGGTTCTGAAGTGCCTAATCAGTTTCAAATAAGGACCCGAAGTGTCCAATTAGTCTCAAGTAAGGGCCGGGTTCGCCCGGCCGGTCAAATGCTGACCGGTCGACAAGCACGTGACTGTTTCGGCAATCGGAATAGTGGCAATTTCGTCTTTTATTTTTTAAATTTTTTTTGTTTCTTTTTTCCTTTTTCTATTTTTTTCTTTTCCTTTTCTTTTTTTTTTTCTCTCTTCCCTCCGCCGGCGATAGCCGGGTCCGGCGGAGGTTGCCCTCGCCGGCGTCGAGCGAAGGCCGCCCTCGCCTGGGCTAGGCGGGTGAGGGTCGACCCTTGCCAGATCAGGCGAGGGTGAGGGTTGCTCTTGTCGGATCTAGCGAGGGTCAACCCTCGCCTGCCCAGCCCAGGCGAGGGCGGCCCTCACCCGACGCTGGCGAGGGTAACCTAGGGTTGGGCTAGGGTTGCCCTTGCCGGCGTTGGGCGAGGGTCACCTCGCTTGGGCTGGGCGGGTGAGGGCGACCCTTGCTAGAACCGGCGAGAGCAAGCCGGCATCGGGCGAGGGCCGCCCTCGCCTAAGGCTGACGAAGGGAAGAGAGGAAAAAAAAAAAGAAAAGGAAAAGGAAAATGAAAAGAAAAAAACAAAAAAAGGAAAAAGAAACAAAAAAAAATTTAAAAGTAAAAGACGAATCTGCCCTTGTTCCGATCGCTAGAATAGTCATGTTCTTATCGGCCGGTGAGCATTTGACCTGCCGAGGAACTCAGGCCCTTACTTGAGACTAATTGAATATTTCAAGCCCTTATTTAAAACTAATTGGATACTTCAAACCTTTATTTAATACTATATTCACTTTTGACTTTTTTTAATAAAATGACATCACTTTGTATATTGATTTGAAATTTTCCCGAATCAAAACCCCGCGGATTGGCTTACGTAGGCACTGACGAAAATCGAACTCAATTTCTAGGTTGCCCCCAACGCAAGGAGGCCCGCGGGGTAGGGGGGGGAACTTCTTGGTCGAACCAATCCACGTGGAACCGAGTACGCGAGCCACGTGGCGCGCGGCCACGCCACCCAATCGTCGAATCGAATACGGCGCGAAGCTCACGCACGCACGGAACTGAAAAATGTATATAAGGCCCCTCGCTCGCTCGCTCGCTCGTCCTCTGTTCTCGTCACCGAATGCTCCGTTGATTCTTCCGCTCGTCTTCTTTCCGCTCGTCTACTTCGCCGAACGAGGTTCCGCCCATCGAAGCTTTCCTTCGTCGCGGTTTCTCTCTCCTCCTCCCATCTTCCCCCACTCGAAGGCCGACGCCTCCTCGATACGCGTCCGTCTTCGCCGATCGGGAAAAAGGGTTCCCCTTTTAACCCCCCCCGCTATCGCCGCTGCAGCTGCAAGGTGTCCGAGCTCGGCGCTTCGAGATCGAGTCACGCGATGGCGAGCCAACAGCAGAAAGCCTCGGTTCACGACTTCACCGTCAAGGTTGGGTTTTTTTCTTTTGGTGGGGGGGGCCGGTTTTCTTGATCGTTCGTAAAAAGGTTTCGTCTTTGCCGTGTTGGATCGGCGACGTTCTGATATTGACTGATCTTTTGTCGTGTCTTATGTCGGAGTTCGGATGTTTGATGGAACTCCCGTGGGGTTGATAAGTACGTAAGAAGATGTCTATTAGAAGTCTGGGAAAGAGAGAGACGCGGGATTAGCAAAGGTTTAGTGAAATCGCTCGTGCTTAATTAACGTGCTCTAGCTTCGTCCTCTTTCTTCAAAAGGAATGGAATGGTAGCTTGCACAGTGCAAACTGCAATAGCTTTTTTTGCTTTGAGTCATGTTACCGTTAAATTTGCGGTTGTTAATCAAGTTTGTCCCATGTAACCAACTGCAAGTTGGTTTCTTTCGCGGTCCTTGGCGTGATTTTCTGCGGATTCCGTGTTTGATTTTGTTGTAGGATGCTAGGGGGAATGACATCGATCTCAGCCAGTACAAGGGGAAAGCCCTGCTGATCGTCAATGTTGCATCGCAATGGTAATCTTTGATTGATGTTGAATCTCCATTTTCAGTCTAGGACTAGCACTGAACCCTGTCCTCGTGGACTAGATTCGGTGCAAGTTCCAATTTTGTGTTTCTGTTCTTATATCCCGGGTGCTTGGGGAATCAGTATAATCTTTGTCAGCAGACGACAACTGACGAACAATGTTTCACGAGCAAGCTGTGGCCTTCCAAATGATCTCCTTTGATTTAAGATTCTGGTTTAGATTTTTACTGGTGCACGCTTGTTGTGATGCAGTGGCTTGACAAACTCAAACTACACAGAGCTGAGTAAGCTTTATGAGAAGTACAGAAATCAAGGTACACTAGTTCTGTTTCTCCCTCTTCGCACAATTTGAATTAGCTCTATTGCACTCAAAAGGGATGACTCGGACCAAGCTATTTCATAGGTTCCAATGTAGCTGATATTGTGCCTGTGAGTGAGAGACTCAGCACTGTCTTTTTCCTTATGGTTCCTTCATGGAATGAGTTTATGAAACATAGTGATTGTAGTGAAATTGGGACTTCAGCTGTGACTGAATACACAATTGACATTCCTCGTTTTAGATTGCGAAGCACAGGAGAATTGGCCAACGGAGTAAAGTGCTTGCCATCACTTTTGTTCCCCGAGCGATCTCCCATTAGTACTTTGATATTGAGTAATCCCATGTCAATCTGTGAAACCTCCCACATCAGACCCAACAATGTCTTACTTTTGTCTAACAATTCATTACCCTGGAGTATCAATGTTTTGTACGAATAAAATTTGGGTGGGAGAAGACATAAGGAGATGACTACATTCCCTTATTGGAATGCAGGTCTGGAGATTCTGGCTTTTCCGTGCAACCAATTTGGATCTCAGGAACCGGGGACCAACGAGCAGATCCAAGAATTTGCCTGTACTCGATTCAAGGCTGAATACCCTGTCTTTTCTAAGGTAGATTTTTTATTTGTTTTTGTTTTCTTGGTAGGAGCTTCTGTAAGGACGAGGGTCCAACGAATTTAATATTACCTTGTGACCTAGCGGATCGTCAAATTTGAGCCAGATCCAACTCTGACGTGGTAGTGTTGAAATCCTGCTTACGATTTAATCACACAAATAACTAGATAAACATATGGTTTTTTAAAACTTTTCTCAGTCATGAGATTATATATGTGCACTTTATGCAGGTTGACGTGAATGGTGCGAATGCTGATCCATTGTACAAATTCCTGAAATCTAGCAAAGGTGGGTTCTTTGGCGACGGCATCAAATGGAACTTCACCAAGTTCTTGGTCGACAAAGAGGGGAATGTAGTCAAGCGTTACGCTCCAACAACTTCACCCCTGAGTTTCGAGGTAAAAGCAACCTAGTGCTTGTTTCACGTGCCATATATTCCTGATCTTTCGGTTCATTTCTGAGTGATGCCGATTGTTTCCCTTGTGATTGCAGAAGGATGTGAAGAAACTGCTGGGGGTTGAGTGAATTTCATAAGGGTGGACGGTTTCTGATTCTGGTTGATAAATAATGAGGGAAGCAGACTTGGGGAGTAGCTTTGTGAGGAGACCTCTTATGTATGGATGTTGTTCAATTACACCGCAGTTATTGTAGCTAGTAACGTTCTAATACTAAGTTTCAAATCGAACACCATTTTTCTCTGTCTATTGTCAATCTCTTCCCTGCGGAGCTTTATGATCAGCTGAAGCTAGGAGCAGAAGGAACTGCATTTCTTCTTTAATCTCTGGGGCACGACATACTTGGGATGATCATGCTTACTGTATAACTTATGGCGACAAAATTTTTCCGGTAGCGATTTGGCAAGGAGGGAAATGAGTTCGTAGAAGAACTTTGTAGAGGCAGAATATGAAGTTTCAGAACCGTAGACCGAAAAGGTCACATTAGCTGCACCAGACCAGACACCTTTTTTTGAACCAATTTTTGGACTGACCTGATCCGTCATCCCTTAACCTCTTATCACTTAAAGGCAGAACTAATCCAAGAACTGCTCATATGAGCCAAGCAGATTTGAATTGTGCTGCGCCTGGTCGAAATGTGTAAGCGGAGCGGAAGCCTTTAGGGAAGGGAGGTTAAGAGAGTTTTGAGAGAAAGAACAGCAACTCAATCTTTCATTATGATCATCCTAAGTAACATCACATTCTTGACACTAGCAAATATGCACACGAATTGGAAGAATGTGGAAGACAAAGATTAAGTAAAATTATCTTAGAGTATGAAGTAACGATGGAATATCGGTCACGCAAATTGTACTAATTGAAATAATAAAGATACTTCAAGATGTAAATTTTTTAAGGAGAGTTGTTATATATAGAAATGATTGAAATTTTGTTATTGAAATATGTATAAAAAAGGAAATAGACACTCACCCTTAAATAAAATATCTCTAAAATGATTAACTAATAATACTTACGAAAGAAGTAAAGATTGAGATCCACGTATTATAGGACTTTCAACTTTGCAAGATATCCTATTATTTCGTTAGGTGGAAAGCTGAAAGGAATAGCGAAGTTGAAAGCTGGAAAGGAAGTGCTCATTAAGGCCGTGGCGCAATACGTCGCCACTTACACGGTGTTGTTTCTAAAGTGCTTAAGGGTGCATTTGGTTCAGTATTTACAAGGGACTTTGGGGTTGCAAAATCTCTTAGGCAAATGCAAATGACATTTGGCAACTTTTTAGAGAACTTTGTGAAAAAAAAAATTGCATTTTCAAAGGCCTTTAGCCCAAAATAGGTTCGGAAGTGCTTTAAAATGCTGCATTTTCTGAAATGCAAATAGGTTTTTTTTTTCTTCCAACTTTACTCATCCCGAACCTTCATAATTCCGGTAATGTCCTCGAAAACCCTAACTTGTTGGCGAAGACCTTAGCCACCGCCACCCTCGCCTAAGGTCGCACGACCTTAAGTGAGACCTAGGTTGTGCAACCCAAGTGTCGCCGCATCACCTAAGGCGGCGTCGCTAGGGTCGCACGACCCACGATGTGGATAATTTTTTTAAAAAAATTTAATCTTTCTAAATTTTTCTTTTTTTTCTTTTCTTTTTTTTTTGTCCTTTACTTTTCTTTTTGCCTATGGTCGGTCGGTGAGCATGGCTGAATACCAGCCATAGAAAAAAAAGGAAAAAAAGAAAAATCAGAAAAAATTAAAGGATTAATACCACGAAAAATCTCAAATTAGTACACATGTGACAAATTTACCCCAAACTAATATTTTGACTATGAAAAATCCCAAACTGGTACTCCTGTAACAAATTTATCCCAAACTAATTTTTTGACCATGAAAAACCCTAAATTGGTACACCGGTGACAAACTTATCCTAAACTAATTTTTTTACCACAAAAAATCTCAAACTGGTAATTCTATGATAAATTTACCGTCCATTAGCGGACAAATTTGGGGTTTTTCATCATATTTACCCTATGGATTTCTACGTGGACTTGTCACATCACCATATCACGTCACCATGTGTCATACACGTCAGTAAAATTTAACTGTAAAAATTGACGGAAGCTAACGGATGGTAAATTTATCACAGGTGTACCAGTTTGGGATTTTTGGTGGTTAAAAAATTAGTTTTGGGTAAATTTGTCACAAGTGTACGAGTTTTGGGTTTTTATGATCAAAAAATTAGTTTTGGGTAAAATTGTGACAAGTATACCATTTTGGGATTTTTCGTGATATTAACCCAAAATTAAAAGAAATACAAAATTGTCCATGTCAGCGTCAGCCACGCTACATAGGTCGGCTAGCATCCACATCAAAGATTTCCGACCACAATTGGCTTGAATAACTATATTAGCACATCGTCAAAAAGTTTATGACTAACTTGGCACAATTGAAAGGTTTAGAATTAAACTGCCAAATCGTCAAAAGAATTAGGACTAAATTGATACAATATGTTTAATACTTGATGGATAGTTTTTAGGGTTAATACTATGAAAAACCCCAAACTAGTACACCTGTGACAATTTTACCCCAAACAAATTTTTTGACCAGCAAAAACCCCAAACTGGTATACCTGTTAATTTACCCCGAACTATTTTTTTGACAACCAAAAACCCCACATTGGTATACTTGTGACAATTTTATCTTGAACTAATTTTTTGACCACCAAAAACTCCAAACTGGTACACTTGTGATAATTTTATCTCGAACTAATTTTTTTACCACTAAAAATCTCAAACTGGTAGATTTGTGACAAATTTGCTCTCTGTAAGTTTCCGTTAAATTTGATTAATATCACGAAAAATCACAAATTGATAAACTTGTGACAAACAGAGGAGTAAAACTTCAAACTGATACAACCGTCAATTACCATGTGTCATCAAACTTAGCAATCTGATAGTAAAATTTAACGGAAACTAACGAAGGGTAAATTTGTCACAGGTGTACAGGTTTGGGATTTTTGGTGAATTTTTTGTTAAAAATAATTTTTGATAAATTTATTACAGGTGTATCAATTTGGAGTTTTTCGTGCTATTAACCCCAATTTTTACCGCTACGAAGCATTCGCTCCCGAAATCTCGGAGGGCAAAGTGTAAAGATCTGAAAAAAGAAGGTGCAGAACGCATATCAGCAAAATCTGCTGGTGGTTTCTGTAATTGTTCTTGCGCCCCCCTCTTTAAATAGTTAAAGTTTCGGGGTCTCGTTGAGTTTGAAGACCGGTGGACGCGATGACGAGCCAACTGATGCAGGACCCGCGATCAATTTACGAGCTCACCGTCAAGGTTTGTCCATCAGCTCATCACCCATCTGAGAATCTTCAACCTTGTCGATCACCCCGTGGGTTGGAAACCACCATCGATCTCTCTTTCTTTGTCGGGCCCCGCGAGCCTCTGAATGTTTCTCAGGGCACGAACTCTTTCACAAGTTCACCAAGCTTTGGGAAGCTTGTTCTTGAACTGAACTGTTTCGATAAAGAACTTAACAACGGTGATGAACTGATGATGATGTTCCCTTTTGGAGGATCGGCCCGTTTGTGTGGAATTCTTGAATCGACCCACGTGTGGTTTTTGTCGGAAACATTGAAAGGTTGCATCTTTGATGGGAATGGGTGATGAAAAGCTAGTTGACCCTGCGTGGGAATTGTTTTTCATTGAATCATTTTTGTTGTCCCTGGTGAGAGAAACGATTATGAAGAGATCGGTCTTGTGGTCAACGGAAGGGCGGGAGGTTCTTTCGTGATTCTTTTCCTTTTCAGATGTTGCATGCTAAAACGGTCTCTTTTTAGCCTATTCCTTCGTTTTGATACGTATATTAAGAATTAGACATTTTGCTGTCTGTACATGTTGCGCTAGTTCAGTTGGAGGTCACCTTTCTGGCATCTGACTGAGGATAATGTTGTTCATTCCCCCATTATATGTGAACTTGATGAAGCCGCTTCAGGCGACAGTTGTCTAAAGCATGTAGCTCTTTATAAATGCAGGATGAGAAGGGAAATGATGTAAGCCTGGGTGAATATAGGGGCAAGGTCTTTCTCATTGTGAATGTGGCCTCAAAATGGTATGTACCCCATTCACCTTGTTTTTCTTCCCTTTGTTCCGTCTCTTATTACCGAGGTTTTACTGAGGAGAATAAATATGATAGTAGATCCGAGGAAGAGAAATATTGTAGAAGCAAGAAGAGAAGGGGGTGCATGGTGATTGTTGTTAGCATGAACCTCTGAATTCAGAGATAATGTTATGGAGATGTGATGCATTTAATAGCTTCGTTCTGTTTTACACTTTAACAGTTCACCAAATAGATTTTCTATAGATTTGCCCTGTAAATATATTTACTCAGTTCTCGTTTGGTTTTGGCAGTGGATTGACTAACTCAAACTATACTGAGCTAAACCAGTTGTATGAGAGGTACAAAGATAAAGGTGAGCTCTTCAAACTCTACGTTTGAGTTCCCATCTTCCTTGGGTGACTAATCCACCGAGGCGGCAGAAGTTGGAATGCTAAAGTAATGGTGTTGAGGATGGAAAAGAACTGCGATGTTCCTTTACTGGTTGAGTGGACCCGAGTTTGTGTCATCAACCTTCGTGGACTAACCACTCATTCTTTCCATCTTCCATTCTTTGGTTTTTAAACTGGTTAGAAACTTTCACAATGATCTCTTAACTTATGGTGCTCACTCTAGCTGTTATCACCTTAGGGATGATCTTATTGTAAGCATAGTCTTGGTCTGCCACTCTCCAACACTTTTTCACATCACTACCAGTGTTATATTTTTCGTATGGCCTACACTTCTGGTGCTCTGAGGATGAATGTTCTTCATCTATTTCTTTTTTCCATGAAGTATTCTCTTACTCTGTAGACCTGCCTCTGGGCAAAAAAATCTAACCAGCAGATCTTGGAATGTGATAATTACTGCTAATATTATGTCAGCGAGGGGAAAAAGGAATAGAAAGGTCAATACTCATTCCGTAGCCTTTGTTTGGTCGTTCATTCTCACTTCATTGACCTAATATATGCTTTCTATTCTCCGACTTGCGATACTCCATTTGCAAATTATGAGATTTTTTCTTGTATTGGCTCTATTTCCTTTCCAGTTTTACTATGCACATTTGATTTGCAACAGTGTTAGATGTTCGGTGGCAAAGAAACTGATTATCCTGACCCAAAATTGTGAGAAGGTAATGCTGAGTGACCTTGGGTTTTCCTGATAAGTGAATTGGTGCAGGCTTGGAGATACTGGCCTTTCCATGCAATCAGTTTGGTGATCAGGAACCAGGAACAAACGATCAGATCAAGGAATTTGTTTGCACCCGCTTTAAGGCAGAATTTCCCATCTTCGATAAGGTCTACAAGCAACTTTTTTGTCTCTTACTTTCTGTAAGCCTTGTTTAGACACACATCTAAGTTACGATGGCTTGACTACTGCTAAGATGTAAATGCCTCGTTATATTCAAGATGCTGCTTGAACACTTAGCTTCCTTTGTATGCATAATTATCATCACCAAACTTCTTGGATAGTTTCTTCCTTTTCCAAATTCTGTATTTGTGGTCTGACAGCTGGTTCAGCAACGAGGAATTAACATGCGACTTCCTTTTCTTTTTGTTAGATCGAAGTGAATGGGGAAAAGGCAGCGCCACTATATGAGTTCCTGAAATCAGGCAAATGGGGAATGTTCAAGGATGAAATTCAGTGGAACTTTGCCAAATTCCTGGTAGATCAGAATGGGGTGATTATAAATCGTTATTACCCAACGACATCTCCTCTTGCCATTGAGGTATACCTGCTTACGAATCATGTTTTTTCCCGATTAATGGTTAGCGATCATGTTGTCTATAATAAATCACACGATGGCCTCCTAGATGTGCTTAAATAATGAAAAAACTTTAATGTCGATTCACTAAACTAATGAAACAATGTCGGTGGCACGCTGTAGGGGGACATAAAGAAGCTGTTGGGAATCTCATGAAGGTCAGAAAAGGCAGGTGTGTGCAGTCGATCTCATGTGTTGTTGAGACATATGAAATATCTACGCAGATTGTGCTAGCATGTGTATAGTATGTGTGATTCTGGCCTCGGTGAATTCTGTGATTGATTCCAGATCTTGTACTATTAGCTCCACTTGGTATTTGTTTGATCGAATTTTTTGTCGGTTTGAACTGAATATCTAATGCATTGTGAAAGCTAATGCTTTTCTGTAATTTTGTTTTGTTATTGTAAAATCAGTTCATGTTGCAGAAGTTAAATCGAGTCGTTGCAGAAGGTAAAATTGGGTTATGCTGCTTCATTTTGTTTAGGATTAGTTTGCTAGACTTTCCCAATTTTCAACTGTCTATGATTGTGTTTGGTTTTATATGGTTACGAGGTTCTTTGCTTTTACCGATCTAAGATTGTAGAAGAAGAACTAAATTTAGCAAGTGCTTTGGACATTTGACTGGAGTTTGATGGGTTACGTTTCCTAAGATTCGAGATGACCTACTTATGCGGCATAAAACTTGACCCGGTCCATTTGACGCCATCACGCCCAAAGGCTTTTCAAAATTTTTTTTTTTTTTTTGGTTGGGTCAAAACTTTTCAAAGTATTTGGTTGTACGAGTTTTGCGCAAATTCCGCTTGCTCGAGAACTCTTTGTTTTCTTAAGAAGCTACCATAAAAATAATTGTTCGATGAGGAGAGTAAGCTTAAAATTCATGAATAAATAAAAAGAAAGAAAAACCAAATCCTGAACCTTGAAATTCTAGCTTGATCTCATCTCTAACTGTTCAGCTCATTTGCTTTATTAGCAAAGATTGAGATAATAATTCCACTTAATGCCATGTCTCACTGTTGATCTTATGTATGTCCTCACTGCTAGTGCTATTTGAGTTGCAGAAATAATTGCAGATAGTTGTTCTTGTACTCAGAAGAGATGGTAATATAAAGATAAATTCATACACCCTCCCATCAAGTCTTCTAACATGTCGTTCCTGCTATGTTTAAACTACAACTAGCCCCACATCATGTTGTTCATTACATAATGATGAATAGGCAAATCTTATTTTCTTGAGTTCTGTTATGGAAATTTGGAAAGACAGAACTTGCTAATTCTTCTCACAAGCTCTTTGGTATTAGTTCATGGACCAATCTTCAGAAACGCCATCAGTCCTCAGACCAGAAGATCTCCATCTCCCCCCAATCGCTCTTGGGAACGCCTAAAGCCTACCACACCGCTTTCGACGCATTGACAATATTGTTCGGGCATGGTGGCTGGAAATCATGATCCTTGTTGCACCCCATTGTCGAGTCGCACTTGTCGACCACCTTCACCTTCACGCTCCTCCCGTTGCAATTGATAGTTATCTCCTTGTGGCATCTCTTCGCATTATTGTACCGCCCCGGTCGGTAATGCCACAACGGGCGTGTCGTCGGAATCGAACTGGTTGTCGCACTCAGAAGGTGCGCCCCCATCCCCGCCCTTCTCAAAGCTGTTTATGGTCAATGTCACCTTGGTGCGTCCCGTCACGGGTTGTAAAGCTCACCCCTCTTGCGGCAGTTGGCACCGTAATTGGTATTGCACTCGCCCTGAGTCCCTCGGAGCCTGCCGCTAGGCCTGCATACTTGAGCCTCGGCAATCGCCAAACCGACCACGATGGCAAGGACAAAGATCAATACATGAGAGACAGTTGAATGGAGAAGCTTCATTTCTTGATGTATTGAGTTCTAACTTCCCTTGGGTTTTTTGAAGTTTTATTTTGAGGGGGGTACATATATAGTGCACTCGTGACATATAAGGACAACTTTGGAGCTGAAACTACGAAATGTCTAAAAAGACAACTTTGTAATGATAGACGAATGAAAAAAAATGATAGACGAATGAAAGAATTCTTTTTTTTTTTTTATGTAAAGATAGAGAATCCAGTTGTTCATGTGAATAAAAATTCTTGGGCATGTTGACCTGAAGGTGGGTTTTATGGGCAATTGGCAGATGATAGATTCATCCCAAAATGGCCGAATACCCAAAAAAAACCTCAACTTTAGCCTTTATCCCAATTATATCCCAAACTTTTTTTGTCTCATAAAAAACCCCAAACTTTTACTTTTGTCTCAAATCTACCCCGTTAACTTTTCGTTTAATTTTTTAATATTATTTTTTATTTTTTTGAATTTTTTTATTTTTTATTTTTTTGTTTCACCTTCAACCTCTGGCCGATCGCCGGTCCGGCGACCGGCCAGAGGCGGGGGCCGCCGAGGTCGGCCGCTGGCGAGGCTCGGCCTCGCCGGCGTTGGGCGAGGCTGACCTCGCCAATAGCCGGCAGGGCCGAGCCTCGCCAGCCACGGCGAGGACAGTCTGGCGAGGGCTCGGCCCCGCCCGGCAACTGGTGAGGTCGGCCTTGCTAGCCAGCGAGGCCGAGCCTCGCCAACGGCCGGCGTGGCCGAGCCCTCGCCGATCTAGCGAGGCTCACCCCGCCGGCAATTGGCAAGGTCGGCCTCGCCCGAAGAACGACGAGGTTCGGCCTCGCCCAACCTCGTCGTTGCCGGGCGAGGCCGACCTCACCAGGTTGTCGGCGGGGCCGAGCCCTCGCCAGACTGTCCTCGCCGTGGTTGGCGAGGCTCGGCCCCGCCGGCCGCCGGCGAGGCTTGGCCCCTGCCTCTGGCTGGTCGCCGGACTGGCGACCGGCCAGAGGTTGAAGGTGAAACAAAAAAAAAAAGAAAAGGAAAGGAAAAAGAAAAGAAAAGAAAAAATAAAAAAATTCGAAAAAATAAAAAATAATATTAAAAAATTGGACGAAAAGTTAACGGGGTAGATTTGGAACAAAAGTAAAAGTTTGGGGTCTTTTATGAGACAAAAAAAATTTGGGATATAATTGGGACAAAAGCTAAAGTTGAGGATTTTTGAGGGAATTGGACCCAAAATCATCAGCCGATCGCCATTGGCAGTGGCATCGCCCGCGGCCAACAGCTCGTGAAAACCACGCGCCGCGAGACGACGCCGGAAACGCGGAATAGGAGTTTCGGACATGCGAGAGGGACAAAAACTTTCAACTTTGCAAAACATCCTATTATTTCGCTAGGTGGAAAGCTGAAAGGAAGTGTTAATAGCGAAGTTGAAAGCAGGAAAGGAAGTGCTCATTAAGGCCGTCGTGCAATCCATCCCCACTTACGCGGTGTTGTTTCTAAAATGTTTCGGGGTGTGTTTGGTCCGGTATTTGCAAGAGTCTTTGGGGTTACAAAATCTTTTGGGCAGATGCAAATTACGTTTGACAATTTTGAAGAGAACTTTGGAAAAAAAAAATTGCATTTTCATAGGCTTTTAGCCCAAAGTAAGTCCGAAAGTGCTTTGAAATGCTACATTTTCCAAAATGCAAATAAGTTTTTTTTTCTTTCAACTTTACCCTCGCTCAACCTTCATAATTGCGGAAATGTCCTCGAAAAAACCTAACTTGGCTGGCGAAGGCCTTAGCCGCTGATAAGCCGCCAGCAAGCCACTGCCACCCTCACTTAAGGTCGTACGACCTCAAGTGAGATCTAGGTCGTGCAACCCAAGCGTCGCCTGAGGTCGCTAGACCAACAGGAGGCGTTATTAGGGTCGCATGACTCATAACGTGGACAATTTTTATAATTTTTTTTAAATATTTCTAAATTTATACTTTTTTCTTTTTTTTGTGCTTTTCTTTTCTTTTCACCTATGGTCTGTGAGCGACCATGGTCAAGTACCAGCCATAGAAAAAAAAAAGAAAAAAGAAAAAATTCAGAAATAATTTAAAGAACAACAAAAATTGTCCATGTTAGCGCCAGCCACGCCACGCAGGTCGGCCGATGTCCATGTCAGCGATTTCTGGCCAAAATTTTTATATTGGCAAATTATCAAAAAATTTAGGATTAAATTGGCAAATCGACAAAAAAATTTAGGACAAAATTGATACGATTGAAAAGGTAATGATTGAATTGACCATCGTATAATATGTTTAGGACTTTTTGAACAATTTTTACCGCTGCAAAGCATTCGCTCCCGAAATGTCCGAGGGCAAAGTGTAAAGATCTGAAAAAAGAAGGTGCAGAACGCATATCAGCAAAATCTGCTGGTGGTTTCAGTAATTGTTCTTGCGCCCCCCTCTTTTAAATAGTTAAAGTTTTGGGGCCTCGTTGAGTTTGAAGACCGGTGGACGCGATGACGAGCCAACTGATGCAGGACCCGCGATCAATTTACGAGCTCACCGTCAAGGTTCGTCCATCAGCTCATCACCCGTCTGCGAACTTTCTTTGTCGGGCTCTGCGAGTCTCTGAATGTTCTCTGCTTTGTGAAGCTTGTTCTTGAACTGAACTGTTTCGATAAAGAACTTAACAGTGGTGATGGTAATGCTCCCTTTTGGAGGATCGGCCCCGTTTGTGTGGAATTCTTGAATCGACCCACGTATGGTTATTGTCGGAAACGTCGAAAGGTTGCGTCTTTGATGGGAATGGGTGATGAAAAGCTAGTTGCCCTTGCGTGGGAGTAGTTGTTGAGAGCCAGAAGATGCTTGAGATATTGAATCGTTTTTGTTGTGGCTGGTGAGATAAACGATAACGAAGAGAGCGATCTCGTGGTCAACTGAATGGCAGGAGGTTCTTTCGTGCTTCTTTTCCTTTTCAGATGTTGCATTCTAAAAGGGTCTCTTTTTTAGCCTATTCCTTCGTTTTGATACGTATATTGAGATTTAGACATTTCGCAGTCTATGCATGCTGCGCTAGTTCAGTTGGAGGTAACCTTTCTGGTATCTGACTGAGGATAATGCTGTTCGTTCCCCCATTATATGTGAACTTGATGGAAGCTGCTTCGGGTGATAGTTGTCTAAACCAGGTAGTTCTTTACATATGCAGGATGAGAAGAGAAATGATGTAAGCCTGGGTGAATATAGAGGGAAGGTCTTGCTCATTGTGAATGTGGCCTCGAAATGGTACGTACCCCACCCACCTTGTTTTTTCTTCCCTCTGTTCTGTCTCTTATTAACGAGGTTTTACTGAGGAGAATAAATATGATAGTAGATCCGAGGAAGAGAAATATTGTAGAAGCAAGAAGAAAAGGGAGTGCATGGTGATTCTGAATTCGGAGATAATGTTATGGAGATGTGATGCATTTAATAGCTTAGTTCTGTTTTACACTTTTAACGGCTCACCAAATGGATATTCTATAGATTTGCCCTGTAAATATATTTACTCAGTTCTCGTTTGGTTTTGGCAGTGGATTGACTAACTCAAACTATACCGAGCTTAACCAGTTGTATGAGAGGTACAAAGATAAAGGTGAGCTCTTCAAACTCTACGTTTGAGTTCCCCATCTTCCTTGGGTGACTAATCCACCATGGTTGCAGAAGTTGGAATGTTAAAGTAATGGTCTGTCAATTCTCATCCTTGGTATATAACTATATCTGGAATATGGTGCTGAGGATGGAAAAGAACTGCGATGTTCCTTTACTGGTTGAGTGGATCCGAGTTTGTGTCATCAACCTTTGTGGACTAACCACTCATTCTTTCCATCTTCCATTCTTTGGTTTTTAAACTGGTTGGAAACTTTCACAATGATCTCTTAACTTATGGTGCTCACTCTAGCTGTTATCGTCTTAGGGATGATCTTATTGTAAGCATAGTCTTGGTCGGCCACTGTCCAACACTTTTTCACATCACTAACAGTGTTATATTTTTCGTATGGCCTAAACTTCTGGTGATGAACGTTCTTCATCTGTTTCTTTTTTCCATGAAGTATTCTCTTACTTTGTAGAGCTGCCTCTGGGCAAATAAATCTAACCGGCAGATCTTGCGATGTGACATTTACTGCTAATATTTATGTCAGCAAGGGGAAAAAGGGATAGAAAGATCAATACTCATTAAGCCTTTGTTTGGTCGTTCATTCTCACTTCATTGACCTAATATATGCTTTCTATTCTCTGACTTGCGATACTCCATTCTCAAATTATGAGATTTTTTCTTGTATTAGCTCTATTTCCTTTCCAGTCTTACTATGCACATTTGATTTGCGACAGTGCTAGATGTTCGGTGGCATAGAAACTGATTATCCTGACCCAAAATTGTGAGAAGGTAATGCTGAGTGACCTTGGTTTTTCCTGATAAGTGAATTGGTGCAGGCTTGGAGATACTGGCCTTTCCATGCAATCAGTTTGGTGATGAGGAACCAGGAACAAACGATCAGATCAAGGAATTTGTTTGCACCCGCTTTAAGGCAGAATTTCCCATCTTCGATAAGGTCTACAAGCAACTTTTTTGTCTCTTACTTTCTGTAAGCCTTGTCTAGACACACATCTAAGTTACAATGGCTTGACTACTGCTAAGATGTAAATGCCTCGTTATATTCAAGATGCTGCTTGAACACTTGGCTTCCTTTGTATGCATAATTATCATCACCAAACTTCTTGGATAGTTTCTTCCTTTTCCAAATTCTGTATTTGTGGTCTGATAGCTGGTTCAGCAACGAGGAATTAACATGCAACTTCCTTTTCTTTTTGTTAGATTGAAGTGAATGGGGAAAAGGCAGCGCCACTATATGAGTTCCTAAAATCGGGCAAGTGGGGAATGTTCAAGGATGAAATTCAGTGGAACTTTGCCAAATTCCTGGTAGATCAGAATGGGGTGATTATAAATCGTTATTACCCAACGACATCTCCTCTTACCATTGAGGTATACCTGCTTATGAATCATGTTTTTCCCCGATTGATGCTTAGGGATCATGTTGTCTATAATACATCACACGATGGCCTCCTAGATGTGCTTGAATAATGAAAAAACTTTAATGTCGATTCACTAAACTTATGAAACAATGTCCGTGACACACTGCAGGGGGACATAAAGAAGCTGTTGGGAATCTCATGAAGGTCAGAAAAGGCAGGTGTGTGCAGTCGATCTCATGTGTTGTTGAGACATATGAAATATCTATGCAGATTGTGTTAGCATGTGTATAGAATGTGTGATTCTGGCCTCAGGGTGAATTCTGTGATTGATTCCAGATCTTGTACTATTAGCTCCACTTGGTATTGTCTGTTAGAATTTTTTGTCGGTTTGAACTGAATATCTAATGCATTGTGAAAGCTGATGCTTTTCTGTAATTTTGTTTTGTTATTGTAAAATCAGTTCATGTTGCAGAAGTTAAATCGAGTCGTTGCAGAAGGTAAAATTGGGTTATGCTGCTTCATTTTGTTTAGGATTAGTTTGCTAGACTTTCCCAATTTTCATCTGTCTATGATTGTGTTTGGTTTTATATGGTTATGAGGTTCTTTGCTTTTACCGATCTAAGATTGTAGAAGAAGAACTAAATTTAGCAAGTGCTTTGGATATTTGACTGGAGTTTGATGGGTTACGTTTCCTACGATTCGAGATGACCTACTTATGCGGTATAAAACTGGACCCGGTCCATTTGACGCCATCACGCCCAAAGGCTTTTCAAATTTTATTTTTTTTGTTGGGTCAAAGCTTTTCAAAGTATTTGGTTGTTCGAGTTTTGCTCAAATTCCACTTGCTCGAGAACTGTTTGTCTTCTTAAGAAGCTACCATAAAAATAATTGTTCAATGAGGAGAGTAAGCTTAAAATTCATGAATAAATAAAAAGAAACAAAAAGCAAATCCTGAACCTTGAATTCTAGCTTGATCTCATCTATAACTGTTCAGCTCATTTGCTTTATTGGCAAAGATTGAGATAATAATTCCACTTAATGCCATGTCTCACTGTTGATCTTATGTATGTCCTCACTGCTAGTGCTATTTGAGTTGCAGAAATAATTGCAGGTAGTTGTTCTTGTACTCAGAAGAGATGGTAATATAAAGATAAATTCATACACCCTCCCATCAAGTCTTCTAACACGTCGTTCCTGTTATGTTTCAACTAGGAAAAATGACACAAATAGTCCCTGAATTTTGGCCCAATATGCATTTTGGTCCTTGAACTTTTAATTTGTTCAATGTAGTCCCTAAACTTTTATCTAATGTGCATTGTGGTCCCTTAACTTTTAATTTGTTCAATGTCATTCTTGAACTTTTGGTATATGTTCAATTCAGTCCCTGAACTATATGAAAATGTTCAATGCAGTCCTTTTCATTAATTCAAGTTCAGGGACTACATTGAACATTTTCATATAGTTCAGGGACTAAATTGAACATGTACCAAAAGTTCAGGGATGACATTGAACAAATTAAAAGTTCAGGGACCACATTGAACATTAGCTTAAAGTTCAGGGACTACATTAAACAAATTAAAAGTTCAGGGACCAAATTGCACATTGAGCCAAAGTTCAGGGACTGTTTGTGTCATTATCCCTTTCAACTACAACTAGCCCCACATCATTTTATTCATTACATAATGATGAATAGGCAAATCTTATTTTCTTGAGTTCTGTTATGGAAATTTGGAAGGACACAACTTGCTAATTCTTCTCACAAGCTCTTTGGTATTAGTTCATGGACCAATCTTCAGAGACGCCATCAGTCCTCAGAACCGAAGTTCTCCATCTCTCCCCAATCGCTCTTGGGAATGCCTAAAACCTCCCACACCACTTTCGATGCATCAACAATATTGTTCGGGCATGGTGGCGGGAAATCATGATCCTTGTCGCACCCCATTGTCGAGTCGCACTCGTCGACCACCTTCGCCTTCACACTCCTCCCATTGCCATTGATAGTTATCTCCTTGTGGCATATGTTCCCATTGTTGTACCACCCCGGTCGATAATGCCACAACGGGCATGTCGTCGGAATGGAACTGGTTGTCGCACTCAGAAGGCGCGCCCCCATCCCCGCCCTTCTTAAAGCTGTTTATGGTAAATGTCGCCTTGGTGCGTCCCATCACGGGGGGCGAGCTTTACACGACTTGTAAAGCTCGCCCCTCTTGCAGCAGTTGGCACCGTAATTGGTGTTGCACTTGCCCTGAGTCCCTCGGACCCTGCCACTAGGCCTGCATACTTGAGCCTCGGCAATCGCCAAACCAACCACGACGGCAAGGACAAAGATCAATAGATGAGAGACAGTTGAATGGAGAAGCTTCATTTCTTTATGTATTGAGTTCTAACTTCCCTTGGTTTTTTGAAGTCTTATTTTGAGGGGGGTACATATATAGTGCACTAGTGACATAAAAGGACAACTTTGGAGCTGAAACTACGAAATGTCTAAAAAGACAACTTTGTAATGATAGACGACTGAAAGAATTCTTTTTCTTTTTTTTCTTTTTTTTTATGTAAAGATAGAGAATCCAGTTGTTCATGTGAATAAAAATTCATAGGCATGTTGACCGGAAGGTGGGTTTTATGGGCAATTGGTAGATGATAGATTCATTAAAGGGTCGGTCTTGTTTTCTAGTTGGAGGATTTTTTATTTTATTTTTTTTGGTTTTCCTTGGAAGATTCGGCGAGGGATATTTGTACGGCCCTGAATCTTGTCTGAAACAAAGCATTTGAGAGGATGAGCAGCTGGAATCTGGGAAGATCATACCTTGACCTCCTCGACCTCTTTCAACGAGCGCTTGGAATCTCAAATGGCGATCGCCCACCAGCCAAATTGTGATTCTCGTGAATCTCACCGTGGATTCTAGTTCGCTCACAACATTGCGACGTCTTGTGATTCAATTAGTCCATGTGGACTAGATCCATACTAGTAATTCTGTGTGTGTGGACCGGACTCGTTGTTAACTATGTAATCGTCAGATAATATGAAGTTTACATTGGGATCATTACATCAATGGTTGAGATTCGCCCAGTTCAAGATAGAACCGAGTCAAGGCAAGAATTTCCACCTCAGTCAGGTCATCTGCTGAGTCATAAACTCGGGAAATTGCAACGAATCCAGGAGAAGCATTCGTAAGACGACTTGATGACAAATCCTGTTGTGTGGCAAGACATCGAAAAACTCTCATTTCGGTCGTTTTTTGCAAGAGGAGCTTTGTTGTTTCAAGTTTAAAGAAGACGACTGACGCGCGAATAGATGACTCGATTAATATGTGGAGGAATCAATTATCGAAGAACCCTTCACTCTAAAAATGAAAGAAAATTACGTTAACAAGATGGAGAAGGCTGTGCATTTTCATGCGAAAGGCGGTAATCTCCTGTTGAATGAATTCAGACGGTTCATCGAGGAAACCTGCAACCTAAGCAAAATGCTGCAAGATATAGCATGGTTATACCTTTCCCAAAAGAGCTGACGAGTAGCTATTTTGGAATCTCTTAGTTTCAGGAAGCTCAAGGAATCCTCCGTTTTAGCCATGCTCTGTACATTTGTAAAAAGTTCCTTGTATGTCATGACCATTGCACTTTGAACAATTTACAAAACAATAACTTCAACAAGGCTGGAGCACCGATCGACAGTGTCAGAGGAATGGTTCTGAAAAATATCAAGTGATTGTTGTGAACTTGTGATGTCTTATGTAAGTCAATCCACAGTAGAGGTGCGCGGCAACAGTCAGAAGCTAAGTGACTTTCTTCGATATCGGTGTCTAGGACTCCATTAAAACTCAAGTTTTAAGCCTGGTCAATTAAAGATTCTCGCTGTGGACAACCTCGAATTTAGAGGAGAAGGCATCAGAACACTACGAAGTTATGTCCTGAAGGAGAGCTCGCAAAGAATCTTCTTCCACCAAACACAAGTTCGGCACAAAGTAGAAGCCCGTAATGGAGCCTCGCTCTGAGCCAGGCTCTCGTGCATTTAAGAAGACAAAACTGTCATCCAGAAAACTTGAGAATGTGTTCACTGACTAGCTTCTCAACCATGCTAATGCACGATTAGAAAAAATGCTTCTACGCCAGTTGCAAAAATCACGATAAAGATGCTATTGCAATTCATAATGCAACTAATTATGATCTACAATGAGTAATCAGATCTTGGGAAAAATTTGCAGAGAATCTTCAGACACTAAGTGACATAGATCAGACATCTTCTACGTAGATTCAACCATAACAACCATAACGAGAGAAGCAAGAGGAAGAGACTCAAGGGAAGAGTTTACCAAACGAAACGTTGATGCAGATTAGCATTTTAAACAAGAAACTCTACCCTCAAAGACACGACATAGCTCCTTGCCATGAAAATGGACCTCGTTACTAGAATAAGTTAGCAATAATCCATCAGCCTCCAACGTAATATCAAGGCAAATTCTACATCCTATGATCTAGAAATTTTGGTTCAATATACAACAACACATATATACAAAACCTGATATGTGTCTGTTGCAGCAAAGAGTCAATTCTTCAACCACGGGTCAAGTCAATACCGGTTTGGAGGCTCTTCAAATCAAGCTGTCGTGATCCGGGCCAAATGCCTACTGGGGATGGAGTGTAGCTTTGTGAAGGAGCATTGCTCGGGACAATAGCTTTATTATCAGCAACCTTAGGTTTAGTGTCCTCATCAACTGCATGAGCAGCCAACTCTTTGTTCTTTGGCTTAGAATTGCCGTATACAAAACTGCACACCACAACCTGCACCAAGTAATGTCCATAAGTTTTTGGACTTTTACAAAGTCTAGGGTCTCGAAGAAGCAATTCACGCATGCAAGTATGAATTCCTTCCACTTTTCATATTCAAAATACTACATTGAAGCAAAACATCAGGCAGCAAAAAGATTATGGACAAAACATGTATTTGAAGAGGGAGACAGTCACGTGAAGCACTTTGCATGAGTGCTTTAGAAAACAGACTAGCGAACCGTTAGTCCATGCATAAGGAGGTGTGTAAAAGTACCAGAACAGCATAAAACTCTTAGAAGGATTAGCTGCAATCCAACAATTTTTACACTGGTAATTAATAGAAAGATGACATGTCAAACATTGATCATTGATGGGGACCCATAAAAAATGGATCGTCACCACTTGAAAACATAATAGACATGATTTTTTTTTTTTTTGGACATAATAGACATGAATTAGCCGCCTGACTTATTGCAATACTCAATTTCAGTGATTGCTGGATAAGCACAACCCACAGTCCAGCACAAAGAATATATTTTATATCCAAGAGCTATTCTCATCATATAAAGGCACAAAAATAGAAGATTTTGATTCTTTATATTCAAGAGCTTGAGCTTCTCATCAATATTGAGGCACAAATAATAGAATAACTTATTTTTAAGAGCTAGAGCTTCTCATCAGTCGTAAAAAAATTATGGAAGAATTCAACAGCATGAGAATATACTGTTTCCAGTTATTATACCACAGAAGTGGATCTTTTGCCCGGCTATCCAGAAATTAGAGTGGGTAGACCTTTCAAGCAAAGATTAATTGTAAGAAATTGCTAACTGTGTGCCACAGTTGTTAAAAATAGGATATGTCTGATTCAGATCAGGATTCCAACAAAAAAGCTAGGCAGAAGCTAGAAAATGCAGAGGTTAACAGACAGTTTCCATGAAAATTCAAGAAAAAATTATCAAAAAACCTTACTAAAGACATAGCTGTCAGCAGCTGAAGTGCAGCATTATTCTTTTATGGACACCATGGGACACCATTTCGTGATAAAGAAAACTATCAATACATAATTCACAAGTAGAACAAGTCTCCCAAGTAGAGGCAAAGCTCTGATATATGTGAAGTACCTGAACCAGGCTAGCTGCAACAAGCATCGCAACACTGCCACCAACGACATGTCCATCAGGACTTGAAAGTGAAACACTTATTCCACCTGTGCGGTTGCGGGGTCCACCATCTTCAGCAACTAAATAAGATCCCGACAAGCATAATATCTCAAAGCGGCCCTAAACAAGCAAATTTAACCAAGTAAGTCTTTTTCCCCTTCCTTCAAGGATCATAACAGGAATGACACCAGTAAGCCAAATTGTACAATTGATAAAGATAAGCATTAGCAATCAAAAAGGTCAAGATAAGTTTTAGTTATGTCCAGAGCAGAGAGATCACTCTCAACCCAAAAACAGAAAGGAGCAGTACTTTTGCACCCAGTATACCTCATTTGGCAAATGTTCCTCTTAAATTAAACACATCAAGAAGCAACCACATGACAAGAATAAGTACTGTCCTCATGATTGCCAATAAAGCTACAGCCAAACAATATCACTTGCACACCTGAGGAAACTTGTACATCACTTTGATCCTCACAACCTATCTCTTTGTTCATCGCTTGCTCCACTTCATCACCATTTGCATATGATTGGTGTTTGCTTCTATTGAACTTATTAACCAGTCATATGCCAAATCGAATTTTATATTTACACCTATCACAAGTCACGGCCATACTCATTTTCCGTTCTTAATGGAAATTCCAATTGAATCTTGCCAGCAAATTTACTTGTCTTTCTTATGTTAATTTCTCCATACCTACTAACATCACACCATTAGTCGTATCATAGCTTTTACTTAAGAAGTCAATAGCTTTATAGCATATATTTTGATGTTTCATGTTCATTGAACCCAAGAAAATATATACTGCGCCATATATTTATGTATAGATTGGAAGCACTAGCAAAGCCTGACAAAGAATCAAAGAAACAAATTGGTGGAACAGCGTTTGCATCAACTTTCAAGACCAAGTGGACTTATAATCGAGTCCGACTGAGTTTAAGAAAAAAGCAACCGAGGATATTCCCTTATAGAAAAAGTAATTTTTCAAATCCAATAAAAGGACATAGAAAAACTTAAAGAATGCTTCAACCTCAAATGTGATTGTTTCACCAGAAGACGCAGGCAGCCGTAGAGTTACAGCGGAAACTGTACCACTCCCTGATAATATGCATACAGCTCTTGGCCTTTGCTGGGCGAAAGATAATACCTTAGCAGCAACATCCTGCGTTGTCAAATACAACAATATCCATTATAACAGAAAATTTCAAGCACAACATGCATTAGCGGGCCATAATAAGTGGACTCTGGCCCATCACCAGAAAGCTCTGACAATTATATACTCGTTTTAATAGGAAAAAGGACTGAAGTTCCTTTCAGCGAACATGAAAAGACACCTAGAAGTACAACCAAGAGGTGAATGAGTATCCTGTACCTACTTAAGAGAGAAAAACGAAAACTGCAGACCACGCTATCCATGGACAAGTATAAATTTATCGAATCAGTTTATTATCGTGTGCATTCAAGTTTCTTCTTGCAAATAGACCACACAAGCACATGAAAATCTGAGAAAAGCTGAAATGCTCATCCATTAAAGCCAACATCCCAATCGCACTGATCATACAACAATCCATGTGTCCGAAAACCTCAACTACTTCATCACGGCTGTAACAGATCTAACATTAATACTCATCTGGCTAATTACAAACCTCAATTAACTTAGCCACGGGAAAGTGATTCTCATCATTTAGTACGTTACGCTCTTCAATATCTTCTGATTCTAATAGCTTTTTTGAATATCTAAGCGAAACATATGGCATGCATCTCCAACACTAACATTCTTACATAGGTAAATAATTTATTCACGTGCTTATCACACCAAATTACCTCTCATGAATTAAGAAAAATGTAACATACCTCCCCTGGTCCTACGGTGATCACATGTGGGGCAAAAGCAATTCCAGCTGAACTGTTCATCCATTCACCTAGCAAAGAACGATTTTACCAATTTAATGTGCTTAATGAGCCCATAATCCAATTGCAACGGGTACACCGGAGAAGAAATATGTAAAAGTTGACCTAGATGATGTCACAGCAACAAGCCGCAACGATATATATGACAGACAAGTGACGAATCATCAACTGAAGAAATACCAACTTCAACTTGATCGGACTAGTGAATGTTGGTAGTTATTCTAGCACGTTTTGTTAAATTATTCAGTCATGAACAAGACATAAGTCAAAGGAATCATGAGCTTTAAGTTGATGAAATGTCATAATGACAAATAAGAATCCACGCTAAAATGTTATTGCGTTGGCACTACCATATTAAGCACGCCAACAATGCATTGCTTAGAGTAACTATCAGGCGACAAGATCAACCTACGTCTTTCTAATTAAGTCAAGCCCACTACATGCATCAACTTACCACATAGAATCCTACTTAGCCATCATCGATGCATGTTGCAAATATAACTTCACTTTAAAATCAATGAACATTGCATTTTCCTACAAGCAGCTACAACAGCTATATTAACCATACAAAAACCACTCATATGAAAAATAAAAACAAGAACATGCAAAGAACACGTAACAGAATGAGTTAAAAAAACCTTACCAGTTGCAGCTAACCGTTGCTTCCGCCCACTTCCAGGTGGCCTTCCCCGGGCCCGTTTCTGAGACTCTGTAAGTGAACCAGAAGAAGCATTTGAAGGTGTAGCAGACATAGGCAAAAGCCCCAAAGGAACCTTCCCATCAGGCCCGTATTTCCGAGGCCTCCCTCTCTTTTTCTTTACCGGCTCACTCGATGGCATCGCAGAGGACATCCCCATATTAATGCCATGAGAGAAATTGGCATTGGATGGTTCAGCTGCATATACCGGTCCGCCTAAGCTGGACCGGACATTGGACTGAGCCTGAACATGAGGATTCGTCAATGCTCTAAAAACTGGCGGGGCATTCAACCCACTGGCTTCTGCTCCACTTAACGCCACTCCTCTGTGTATGAAATACTGAGCTGACCCACCAGACATAGCCATGGCTTCTCGCCCATCCATGCATTTACAATGTCTAAAGCTAGTGTCTTTACCTCCTATCAACTTAGAAAAAAGATGGCTTGGACCGACGCAGAATGCTTCCAAATCAACACCTAATTTTACTAGCTCAAGTCAAGATCATACACGTTCAAGGGTTTTACAAGAGGGTGAATCTCTGACCAGCAAAAGCTAAAAAAAAGTACAGGAACCTCACGATGGAAAAGAGAGATTGACACCCAGAGACAGACAAATCCAAGTTCTATCAGGGATCTGCCAAAAACAAACCTAGCAAACACAAGGTCTAACGACGGCCCTACCGATGCAATGCGCAAATTTCAGCTCAAAACAAGAATTCAACCTCCACCCACGAAATCTAAAGAGCAGATTCAGCAGAAAGTCTCCATCTTTCCGCCGCCAGAGACACAAAACCAGACCTTGTCGAGACGAAATGCGCCAGCACGCGAGCAACCAGAGCACCTCAGCTGGTCGGAGCCCGCGTACACCATGCAAAGCCGAAACCCTAGATTTCTCAAATCTAAGAGGGGCAAGACAAAAGGGAAAACGCAAGGGAGAGGGGAAAAAAAATGTGAGGGAGGGGGAGGGGGGGAGGGGCCAAAGGAGAGGGGAGAGAGACAAGAAAAGGGTAAAAAGGAAAAAGAGTAAAGGCGAGGACTTTGAAGGCGGATTGAATTGAATATGTGAGCGTAAAGGCGTGCAAGGTGTGGGGAGCTCAGCCCCAAGCAGAGAAGGAGAGAAAAAGAGAGGAGAGAGAAGAGAGAGAGAGAGAGAGAGACAGTGAAGTGAAGAGAGACTGAAGACCCCTTCTTTCTCTCTCTCTTCGCCTTGGGGGGGGCTCCTTTATTTCCCCTTTCTTTTTCTGATTTCTTTATTTGGTGATTTGGTTTGATTAGCAGAGAGTAGGAGAGGAGGGGGGAAGTAGAAGTCAGACTCAGAAGAGCGTGCTGTACCAGACTACTTCCATGAGAAGAGAAAGAAACGCGCACACACACACACCCTCTCTCTCTCTCTCTCTCTCTAGTATTGGAGCACAGTCCCATGATGGCCCCCACCAGACAAAGTACCCCATGTCCCCCATTTTTTTTCACATGTCCTCATCACATCTCGCCCGTTTCTTGATAGAAAATTCATCGGCTTTCTCCTCTTTTTTCCTCCCTAGGGTTTGAATTCACGTCCGTTTCCACCGGACAATCGATGAAATTCAAGGACACTGTGACCCACCTCGGCCTCGGTTTCTCGTGAACAGGAAGGAGGTCGGGGGCTCGATTCTTGAGGAGGGGATTTCGCGGAAAACGCTTTTCATTTGTAAGATTCGTATGAGGTCATAAGATTTCACGGTTTAGATGCACTAGGCATGTACGATCTGAATGCACCTCGTAATTTTCCGCTCTAGAGAATTCGCTTAATGTAAAAAATAATGCTCGATGCTAAGCTTGCAAATGCAAAAGAGGCTTGCACCTATAAAATAGAGAACGAAGTTACAAACATACACCTCATTTAACCTATCTTTTACCTCAATATTAATAGGACTTTCGAAATTTACCAAAAAAAGGGGTAATTGCTCCACACCCCCCTCAATTTTGGCATAGCACAACGGCCATCGGACTCTGAAAAGTCACATATTAATTTCTCCATAAACTTTGGTATTGTTACACAATAACCCTTGAATTTTGGAGAGTTAAAGATTAGCCCCCAGATTTTGATTTTGTCGGAGCTGCAAATTCTTCTATCCGCGTATCAACCAAATATAGCGCTATCGATGTTGGAAGTTTTGAAACACTATCTTTAGAAGTTGGAAAGTTTTATATTTTATGTATTTCTTTTCTTACAAGTATATCTTCCAGAATGTGCTCTTGTATAAATATCCACTTAAGCTTAATAGAAATATACGAGAATTTTCCTCTCAACATTGTATCAGAGCCATCGAGGACTTATGGCTCCTTTCAACCCTGGCTTTCTTTTTTTTCTTTTCTTCTACAATGGATGGTGTTCGCCACAGACATAGAGAATCCTACCGCCATCGCCATCACCACCACCACAACCGCCATTACAAACCCTTCTTCTTCCTCCATTTAGATCTGCTCACCACTTCCTTTCTCTACATCTCATAGCATCCAATTACTTGATATGGAAACCACAAGTTAACCCGTTTCTCAAAAAACAAACCCTTTTATGGTCATGTCGGTGGGACCAAACTGTGTCCCTCTAATCTAGCCCACACAGGTCTTTGGCAACAATAGGACTAGTCCATCATGGACCTTTTAATTGCGTCCCTCTCAAAATTGATTTTACCTTTCATTGTTGATAAAACCAATTAGCAATGTCATTTAGGATGCTCTCAAAGCCACTTTTGGCTTAGCTTCCACTATATGTATGCTCTCTCTTCATCTCAGTCTGCAACAGAAACAGGACGAATCAGTTATTGATTTCCTCCGGCGTGCTAAATCCATTGCCGATAATATGGGTGTTGCAGGCAAGCCACTTGAACCGGAGAACTTCAATGTCCATATCTTCCGTGGTCTCCGATCTAATCTCCATAACATTGTTCCTACATTACTTGGCCATTCTAAACCAATCATGTTTATGGAATTTAAAGTTTTTCTCCTTAGTCAAGAGAGTATTAAGGTCTTCCAAAAGTTGCGGATCTCCAAGCCTTCCTCTCGTGCTATCTTTGCTACAACCAACTCTACTCAACGAAATTCCTCCACCTCTGCCTCCACCACTCTTGGTTCATCTTTCTTTGGCTGTGGTCTGTCCAGAGGTCATGGGGGTCGCGGTGGTCATTTTGACCGCGATCGTGCTGCCCGCGGTGCTCAACAAGGTTGGCTATGGTGCTGTCAACGTATAAATCACATTGCTGCCACATGCTACTATCGCCCTCTAGGTATGCCTTATTACTCACCCCTTACACATATCCTTTCGTATCAACCCTCTTAGTCTCCCAATGCCAGCCTGAGCCCTGGCCTTCTCCCACTTTTACCTTCACCTACCAACAACCTACCTTGGTACCTTGACACAGGTGCCTCTCACCGTGTCACGTTTGATATACAATCCCTCTCTTCCTGTGAAGTTTATAATGGATCGGATCAACTACACATGGGAAATGGTAATGGTCTCAAAATTACTAATATTGGTACTTCTTATATTCCCTCCTCTATTTCAAATCTTTCTTTACGTCTAAATAATGTTCTTCACCTCATTGATATTTCTAAGCGTTTACTTTTGATTCAAAAAATTTCGACTGATAATAATGTATTCTTTGAATTATATCCTACCCACTTTCTTGTTAAGGATCTAGTGAACAAGGCGGTTCTTCTTTCTGGCCCAAGAAGTGGTGGTCTTTACACTATACCGCAACAACCTTCAATACCTACCACCATTATTGCGGAAGGGACTTCCATGGATGGCTGGCATCAACGTCTTGGCCATCCCCATGAACATCCGTTACGGTTTATAATCAAAGAGAATAATTTATCATGTCAATCCACACGATTGAGTCAGTTATGTGATGCTTGTCAATTGGACAAGGCTAGTCGTTAGACCTTAGGATTGTCTCTAACTCGCAGTTTGTTTCCGTTGGATTTAATTTATAGTGATGTTTGGTGTCCTTCTCATTTTGTTTCGACTTATGGTCATCGTTATTTCGTTATTTTCTTTTATGATTGCACAAAATTCATTTGGTTTTATCTTCTTGTTTACTCTATTTTTCTTACTTTCCAAGCTCTTGTCAGACGTCATTTTTCACAAAAAATAAAAGTCGTTCAAATGGACTGGGCTGAGAAATCTCGTACCTTTCCCTCTTTTTTCTCAAAAATTGGTATTGCTCATAGTTGAAACTGATTTAACATTATTGGTGAGCCTCTCCTACATTCTTTTTGCTTTTTAAACAGATGTCTAAGTTGGAAATACTGATTTACTGCTTTAAAATTTTCAATGAATATTCCCTTGCCTTTTATCATTGTCCAATTGTCTCCAAACCCCTGAAAATAAAATGAAAGAGCGAGAGGGAAAACGTGTGCCTGTCCCATTGATAAGAGGGGGATCTAGACTTTAATCGAACCAACAATGTTTAAGGATCCGTTTGTGGCAAAATTATCCAAAAAGTCCTAGTCCTATTACACTTTTGTCAATTCAGATCTAAACCTTTCAATTTTGCCAATTGAATCCTAAACATTTTCACTTTTTGCCAATTAAAACCATCCAGCTAATTTTGACCGAAAATTGCTTACGTGAATGTTGATCGTCCTACGTGGCACAGCCGGCGCTGATGTGGACAATTCTTAATAAAGTATTTTTATATTTTTCTGATTCTTTATTTTTTTACTTTCTTCTTTTTTTTTTTGCTGGTGACCGGCCACATGCGATGGCCGGGCAAGCTAGCCTCACCTAGGCAAGGGTTGTCGTCAACCGCCACAGGCGAAGGTGAGTCCCGGCAAGACTGCCCTAGCCTAGGCAAGGGTCAAACTCGCTAGATCGAGCGAGGCCGGCCCTCGCGTAGGCCAGGGTGGCCTCATGGGGCATCATCTTCCCCTGGTAAGGCCACCCTAGCCTGGGGGAGGGCCAGCCTCGTCCGATTTGGCAAGGGGATTCATTGTCGGGGATCGCCCTCTTCCGGTCAGGCCATGCCTATGGTAGGCAACGGCAACCCTCACCTGAGCGAGATCACCCCGCCCGGCCATGACCGGCCACTGGAAGAAGAAGAAGAAGATCGAAAAAATATAAAAATATTTTAATTTTAAAAATTATCCACGTTAACGCTAATTGTGCCACATTGGATGCTGGCATCCACGTCAGCAATTTCCGTCCAAAATTGGCCGGATTGACTCAATTGGTAAAATGTGAAAAGGCTTATGATTCATTAGCAAAATTGAAAGGTTAAGGATTGAATTGACAAAAATACAATAGGTTTATGACTGAATTGAACAATTTTTTCATCAGTTTGTTTGAAGGAAAACTGTCGTTTGATTTTCCGTGTTTGGATGATGGAAAACTAATCTATCCACGGAAATCATTTTCCATTTGTTGAAAACATCATGCTTAGATTAGAGGAAAACGACTTCCCTTTATGGCAAGAAAGAAATCGCTTTCCCTAAACCACCAAATAAGTTAAAATAATAAGCCTTTGTTTCATTGAAAACTTCATGATAAAGAAAAATATATTCCAATGAAATCATTTTCAAGGAAAATAGTCAGTTTTCACTCATTTGGTTGTTTAGGAAAATTGATTTCCTTATTGCAAGAACGGGAAGTCATTTTCCTCCGATCTAAACTTATTATTTTCAGTCATAGGAAACATTTTCCGTAGATAGGGTAGTTTTTCGTCATTCAAACACTAAAAAATCGAAAAATAATTTCCGCGGAAATAGTTTTCCTTCAAAGAAACGGACCCTAAAATGGATTAAGGTGTTCATAACTGTGGTTATCTATTGAATAAACCAAGGGCAATATGCCTCATTGGATCAACTTTAGTGAAGGTGATGACTACTTGTTGAACGGACTGCCTCTTGGTAACTTATCAATGTCTATCTCATCTCTTAATATCCCATGGTAGTCAATTGGAGGACCCAATGTGCCATTATTTACAAATAATTATCGGTATCAATGTGATCATACTATCAACCTCTGTAAACAAATTCAGTAGACTTCAGTAAATAGCGAACTCACCAATCTTCAAAGAAGTTATTACCGATTCTCTCAATAACATGTACTAAGCCATATATGTAGATACTAAGTCATTATTCAGTAACCCCCTTCTATCCCGACGAAAGAAATTTACCGGTTGGGATTGATAAAAGAAACTTACTAGTATGGATTGGGATCTTTACTGCCTGAGATAATTTTGGTATGTACATGAAGGTCTGAGGTTGGTAAATGTCTATTCATATGTAGTACGTCATAGTCCTGAGCAGGACTTTAAAAGGCTCCACTAACAATGAAGGGAGAACCTTTATGGTGAGATTTCTCAACCGAGTCTGGCAGAGTCCGGTCTCGTTGAGACTCCCTAGGGGAATGTAAAAAACTTCCTGGGTATTGGCAGCTCCAACGCCAAGAAAAAGATAGTGGGGGGGTTCACGCCTATAAGATTGGTCCTGAGCAAGACCTTAAAAGGCTCAAGAGGGATAAGGGGAGGGAAAACCTCAGTAGAGGTAGGAAGTTTGTGATTTTTTACTTCTATTGAAGTTAGCTCTATCAAACTCCCTCGTATTCTCTCTCCAGGGAAGAAAAGATTTGGAGGGAATTTGGGCTTCCAAGTAGGAAAGGTAGACTCCACGTCAACTTCGGCTAGCTATCGTCGAGTAGGCAAGTATAGTAGCCTCCCACGTTTGGGATGACGGAAGGGAGTCTCATCTCCTGCGGTCCAACCACTAACGCGAATCAACCCGCAAAGCTAGTAATCATACCCCTGGTTGATTCGCGTTATTACCGATTCTCTCAATAACATGTACTAAGCCATATATGTAGATACTAAGTCGTTATTCAGTAACCCCCTTCTATCCCGACGAAAGAAATTTACCGGTTGGGATTGATAAAAGAAACTTACTAGTATGGATTGAGATTTTTACTGCCTAAGATAATTTTGGTATGTACATGAAGGTCTGAGGTTGGTAAATGTCTATTCATATGTAGTACGTCATAGTCCTAAGTAGGACTTTAAAAGGCTCCACTAACAATGAAGGGAGAACCTTTATGGTGAGATTTCTCAACCGAGTCTGGCAGAGTCCGGTCTCGTTGAGACTCCCTAGGGGAATGTAAAAGACTTCCTGGGTATTGGCAGCTCCAACGCCAAGAAAAAGATAGTGGGGGGGTTCACGCCTGTAAGATTGGTCCTGAGCAAGACCTTAAAAGGCTCAAGAGGGATAAGGGGAGGGAAAACCTCAGTGGAGGTAGGAAGTTTGTAATTTTTTACTTCTATTGAAGTTAGCTCTATCAAACTCCCTCGTATTCTCTCTCCAGGGAAGAAAAGATTTGGAGGGAATTTGGGCTTCCGAGTAGGAAAGGTAGACTCCACGTCAACTTCGGCTAGCTATCGTCGAGTAGGCAAGTATAGTAGCCTCCCACGTTTGGGATGACGGAAGGGAGTCTCATCTCCTGCGGTCCAACCACTAACGCGAATCAACCCGCAAAGCTAGTAATCGTACCCCTGGTTGATTCGCGTTATTACCGATTCTCTCAATAACATGTACTAAGCCATATATGTAGATACTAAGTCGTTATTCGGTAGCCCCCTTCTATCCCAACGAAAGAAATTTACCGGTTTGGGATTGATAAAAGAAACTTACCAGTATGGATTGGGATCTTTAGGGTGCGCATGAATACCATTCTGTGCCCGGGCGCTATTTCTGAACAGAAATGATTTTTTTTTATTCTGTGCCCGGAAACAATTTCTGAGTATTTGAAGGCGTTTGATAAATGTCCAAAATTTCTATTCCTAGAGTAGAAAAGAACAGAAATGCGTTTGGTAACTACACAAAATTTCTGTTCCCAAATAATATTTTAATAATATTTTGAATTGTTTAAATTTTTTTTTTCTTTTTACTTTCTTCATTGGCCATGGCCGGTCGCCGTCGCCGGCGGCCGGCCACGGCCCAGGCCGGCGAGGGCGTCACGGACCTCGCCGGCCGCCGGCGGAGGCGAGGGTCGCCCTCGCCGGCGATGGCGAGGGCCGGACCCTCGCCGCCGGGCGAGGCGGCCTCGCTGAGGGCGAGGCTCGGCCTCGCCCAGATCCGGCGAGGCCGAGCCTCGCCGTCGCGACCCACGGCGGCCGACCTCGCCGTGGGTCGCGACGGCAAGGCTCGGCCTCGCCCGCCTCCGGCGAGGCCGAGCCTCGCCGTCTCGGGCGAGGCCGACCTCGCCGTCGCGACCGACGGCGAGGCTCGGCCTCGCTCGATCCGGGCGAGGCCGCCTCGCCCAGCGGCGAGGGTCCCCCTCGCCCTCGCCGGCCCTGGGCTGTGGCCGGTCGCCGGTCACCGGCGGCCGGCTCAGCCAAGAACAACACCACAAAATAAGAAAAGAAAAAAAAGAAAAAGAAGAAAAAAAACTGATTCTCAAAATTGTGCCGAAAAACAAGAAGCAACTTTTTTTTACTTCTTGTTTCTCTTCCAAAACCGTTTCTCGGCACAAATTTTTGCAAAAATGTGCCGAGGAACAAAAAGTTTACCAAACGCATTTCTGTTCCCAAACTATTTCTGAGAACAAAAGAACAGAAATTTTCACTATTTGGCACGATACCAAACAGGCCCTTAGTGCCTGAGATAGTAGGTTTCTGTTCGGTAATTTTGGTATGTACCCGAAGGTCTGAGGTTGGTAATTGTCTATTCATGTCCAGTACGTCATCAAAATGCATTCAGTTGCTGTGCCACTTTGATGTAGTACGACTATCCAATTACTCAATAAGCACTTGTCTCTAGCGGCCTACAGTATTAACCCCTTGATTTAGGTTGGTAAATATCTAATCACTTGGTATCATTCCTCCATTCGTCGGTAAAATGAGATTTCACCCGTGCCAAATTTACGAATGGAGGCTACTTGACCCTTGTGGATGTAGTGAAATTACGTAGCGGGAGTCGAAGAAGCAAATTTTTGTCGTGAAGACAAGGTACTTAGTTACTTCGACCTCTTAGGTACGAGTTCTATGTTAATGCATGCAAGGCCTAGATAATGTCCGAAGCAAGGACAAGCAACAAATATCATGCCCGTTTGGCCCAAAAAAATAGAAAATAAAGATCATTCACGTCTGGCACGACGACATTGATGTTTTAGAGAGAGATGTAAAAGACGAATAAAAGCGGATAGCACTAATTGCTTTGCTTTTCCCCTATTATTGTTTCTCTCGACCCAAGGATAAAAGATGCAGAGCCAGAGTCATAAGAATCAACCAATGAATCAAATGATTGATGATGACTATCTAATTTCATGTTACTGCTGCAGGTTAAAATAAGAGCAGAGCCCGTCCAGTTTAACGCGTTTTCTAGCTGTTCTTCGGAAAGGCTTCCGACTATGCCACCACAACTGTTCAATCCCATAGGGACACAAAGATTCTTTCGGGTTTTTAAGGGATGAAGGATTCTTCACGACACTGGATTCACAATTTTTCGACGCGTGCCGGGGGGAGGGTGTTTTAGGCTCCATTACTCTGGTGCTTGTCAATCTGTCACAAAAGACCATCATTATCAAATATAAACGCATATGAATGAAAGCACTAAAAATTGTAGTACAACTAAGCCATAGATTTAGGCTTCCTAGCGGCAATGCCGATAAACAAGAAACTATGACCAGGTCATTGAAAAAAGCATAAAAAGGACAGAAAACGTTCGAGGACTCTCTGTACATGGAAAAGGGCAAGTAGAAGCATGACATCAGGAAACCCTAATTGCTCCTCAGATTATCATTCCAGATGATTAACAGAAAAGGGCACAACTTCAAGAAAACAGTCACCATGGATTTCAAACATATTACTCTCGACATTCATGCGTTTTCAAACTATGGTAAAAGACATGGTCGGTTACCATGAAATTTTGACTTTTGCATCTAGAATCCAGAAGTGAACACAAGTGGCAAATGCTTCACCTATGCCAAAAATAAGGAATTATGGCAAGATCAAGGTCACTTACATTTCATGATGCGAGGGCTTTGTTTCTAAGAACTTCTCTGTCTGAGGCTCACAAGCAGGGCAGATGTAGAAGTCTGGTGGAGAACATAATTTTACACAGTCAAAGTGGTACCACTCATCACATTGATCACAGGCAATCATTGGCCTTCGACCATAGGGCTTTCGACATATGCAGTAAAGCATACTGCGAGATCTTAAAAGCTGCATCACCATGCAAAAGATAAATCAGATAAAAATTGAAGCATATGAGAAGATGTATATTCAGAACATTTACCTTTAGTTCCTTCTCAAAACAGACAGGCAAGTTTTCTCCCTGCATGATGACTTCAAAAACCTTATCCAAGCCAAGAGCCCCAGAATCAGCGGCAACCTACCAAAAACAACAATTTACAATCAAATGGCTGTAGCAAGCTCATTGATTTGAAAATATTATTTCCTTTGCCAGGATCTGGACCTTCTTCGCATTCTTAGCCCACTGTAAGCAGATGTCCTTCGTTTCTATCAGTTTTTGCCGGTAGTAGTCCTCAATTGGTATGTTTTCAACAAGTCCCTGCCACACGATTTAATTTTCTATTAAGTAATATATATTGGTGCAAAAGACTTCTCGTTGAGAAAATAAGGTTCTTTTTTTTGCCTGAATCAAGAAAATAAGGTTACATTCAAACATACCGACAAGAAAAGAGAACGAGGAAACACTCCTTTTCTTTTTGGTCGGGAAAAACACTTCTACATTTTTTTTGGTCGGTAAAACACTTCTACTTTAGATGCTAATTTTCTGGTTCAACAAAGTAAAAGCCTTTCCAAGAGTCATCTATGTACATGGTATCAACGCCAAAAGGCTGTACATGTAGTTTATAAATACTTTTCCTCCAGTAAAATTGTCAAATACACCACATGAAGGTATTTTCACTCTTTGCCCAGGAGAAAAGCCTGAACCAGTCATGGTTCCTTTCCATCAAATAAACTCATGCTTCAACAGAAAATTAAACTACCAAGTCACCCTTCAAAGACATTATGCTATCCACTTATATTGCACTTGTCATTACTATCACCTGAAATATAAGATTACTTTAGTAAGTAAACTCCTCGGGAAAGCAAGTGTACCTCTTTCAGTAAATTCTGTATCTGCTGGACTGTTGGCTTCTCCAAACCCTGAAATAAGTTTCTGGCTCTAACTCTCCATGAATGTATTTCCAATGCAAGGTCCAGGCTGAAATTACCTTCACGATCATGTAAACCAGCCACTTCTATGGCCTGTCAAAACAATATATTCTGATAAACAATTTCATCGCAAGAACAGCTAGCATAATATACAGCGTCACAATACACCAGGGAAAAAAAAAAGAGAACCAGACCAACCAAAAATAGAGTATTACTACTTCTCGATAAAATATGAATTTTCGGTAGTAGAAGATAATATAACAAGTACCTTCATAGCAGTGGCCAGTTTTCCAGCGACAATGCCGAGATCTTCACCCAAAGGAGCCGACACAGAATCTATAATTTCCATCAAACAAACTTTGCATGCAAGAGCACACTCTAGAAGTTTTTGTAATGGATCTCTTTCTTCAATCCTGATGAAAATCCGTTAAATTGTCAACCCATAACAGTATTTAATCTCGTGCAAGTGTAACATAATTCAAGACAAAAATTGTGATTCAGATACATAAGTATCTCCAAAGGGCACATGCAACACCACAAATTATCCATTCATGCCTGTACTATTCCACGAGTCAACCAGTACTGCAACTAACAACTCGTCTTTCAGCCAAACATTGACAAAGGTAGAAGTATAAAAAGGTCCAATTGGGATAAATATTCAATTCAACCAGGAAGTCTGTGTGAAAAATCAAGCAGATTATTACCACACACAAAGATCTTCAACATCTGCAAAAAGTTTGCTCAGTATATCTAACTGGGGACGTTCTCCTTGACACCTCTGTAAGAAGGAAAATAAGACTTGAGAGGTTGAACAAGCTTCAATCAAATGAACATAAGCCATTGAAACCTTACCAAATGACTCTGACTATTTTTAAAATCGAAACCCCTCTCTACAAATTCACAGAAATTGCATTTGGACATCTGACAAATACTTCTATCCAAAACTGCCGGTCCCAGGCAATGCAGATGATAGCTGTCCACAGAAATCAAACTTTGTAAAGCAATATCGGAAAATAGAAATAAGGTAGAAAAGTCTTCTGTGTAGCCGTAAGGCCACTATATCTTTATGCACAAGAAGCAAAGGAGGCTGGACCAATGATTGAACCAATAAACGCTATAATTACTTAACCAGAATCTGGCATTTAGTCAATGTATCATCTACACAGTTTATCTGTGTACCTATAAGCTGTAATGGCTTAAGTAAGAATATCGCAGACTTTGTAATAAAAGGTGATATTCTTTGTTCCAATCATAAAAAGTACATGTAAAAGTGGAAGAAAATTAGAGAAGTAAAACAGGAACAAACTTCGTCTAATGCTATATCAGGAGACAAATTATCAACCATGACAACTGATCTTCTTAAAAAGCACTAAGGAAAAAGTATAAACTTGTTTCTATATGATGATAGGTATGTACTTGTTCATTAATGCAAATACCTTACCAGTCCTTGCATGTTGAACAAGTCAGGAATTCATGGCCCTCCAAATCACCAGAGCAGCACATGCATAGATTTTCCATTCTGCAGCCTCTTGATTGGTCATGTAAATGCAAAGACCTGTCTAGAGTACTTTTGATCTGGAAACATTAAAAACAAAGGAGGCAGCGATTATTCACCATCTATTATGTAGAGAACAAAGATCTCACATGAGAAGGAACTTAATTTGCGGTTAAGGGGAGAAAAGCTAGAACCTTCATTATGGCCTCAACAAGGGAAGTTGAATCTCCAATTGATATCCCCACAGCCTCCTTGAAGTGTTGCCTCCAATTGTTAACTTTTTCAACCTCTAACGAGACAATATCCCTTTCAGGACAGTTGAAGGCAGCTGCCATTGCCATCTCCTGACGATAATGACATTTATAATCAGTTCACAAAGATGTATGGAAGTGTGCAATTACTCTCTCAAACTGTGTACTTTGCTCCTTTTATTGGGTCAACCTATAGCTTACCATACATTTCCATTGGGTTAAGACATGCATGTCATACACCATTATAGTATGAAAATTTGTGGATACAAATATAAATCCCACATACGACAGATCCTTTACTGCATTTTATGTTTTCTTTTTGGTGGCATCTTTCAAAATCTTGCCACGGTCATTTATGGTGCCTATATGACAAGACAAACAAATTTTCCAGCATGTGAAGCCTCTGTAGGAGGAAGAACATCACATAATGAGGTGTGTCTAGGTTGTAATCCTATGCTAGCAGTAAAATAGGGACCAAAACCTTCCGTACATGAAATTGAGTTCTTAACCTTCCTATCGGTGCAATATAGTCCTCAACCTTTTTTGAAAAGGCAATCAAGTACTTCAGTTCTTTAATTCTCCCAATTCTCCTACGTGACAACTTCTAAGACCACCATATACGTAATTTTCAAAATTGTGCAGGCATATTGCCAAATAGAATTTTCCAAGGACTTGATTGCACCTTCATAATTTGATAGCATCAATTGAATGGCTTAGAACTCATTGCATTCAATAAATAAGGTTTAGGAATTCCAATAAACATTTCCAAAGAATAGAAGTAACTGTGGCAACCAAAAGAAGCAAGGCTCAGAGCCAACAGTATGCAATCTTATGGTAGGTGTTACCGTACAAATTACATCCCATATGTCATCATATTCACGGTTCAAGGAAAAATTATAGTACCCCCTGCATTTACCCCTGCTTCTGTAATTATACGACAAAGACAATTAGCCATGTTGGTCAAAAAGTGCTAGTTGAAGAGGTCATACCCACACCACCAGAATTTGAACGTATATTTTTGGCCGAAACCAACAGAAATCAAACACAAATAGCCCAAACCAACTCAAAGTCCTTAACCCCCCCCCTAAAGTTGTTCAAAATTAATGACATACAAGTACAACTAATGGATGAAAAAGATAACTTTTACTTGTAAAAATCTCCATTATTCTTTTTCTTTGGATCAAACTGAATCAACTGTTGGCCAAACTAGAAGCTTACTTTGAGCTCTTTTTAAAGAATGGACAGAAGTTTTCATAACTTCTTGGAACAGATTACTTGCATGATGAGCGCTTTTTTTTTTCTTTTGGCCTATCGTCATAATTTGTCAATTTTGAAGGTGTTGTAAAGGATAGTTAGCATTCCACCCATGTATTTGGCATCCTGATGGCAGCTCATTAGCCACCAAGTCTTTCTTGATTTTCTTAAATATTATTTAACTTCCAGGTTGTACAGTTGTACTCACATAAACCCAACTAACCATCGATAATTAATTGCTCTTGGAACATAATGGAAACATTATTTCACAGCACGGATGGATCCCTGAGCACAGAAATAGACATACCTTAAGCTGCAATAGTTGAGACCATGAACGTTGACCAATTTCCAAACTTAAAAATCGATCTACTTTTTCCTGCCACAACCTACATTTCGAATTCCAAGTTTTTTTTAAGAATAAACATATGAAGCATATCATCACAATGAACATAAGTATACAGATGCAAATGAATTGTCAACATAAGGCTGTTACCAGATAAAAATATTCCATTAACTCATAATAAGACATAATTGTATACATATGCAGTCAAATCCAAAAACTGTAAACTTGGATATAGAATAAGGGAAATAATATTTTCACTACTAAAAAATCTTCTTCCACAACCATTTCAAATTGAACCACTTGAATGGACAAAGTTATCCTCAAAAGCTCATAAAGATTCTTGAAAAATAACAAAAATATCATCCAAAGAGAGTACATAATCAAAGAAACTGGACTTACCCTTTTTATTTCTATTAATTCCTAAAATGTAACCCTACTTTTCTTTTTCCTTCAACTCTTTCCATTTGTTATTAGAACTTTGTTTTCTTTTGTTCATTTTATTCGTTGTTCAATCCTTTGTAGAGGTTAAGAAGGTCATCTCTTTTTGTTCATTGTTTAATTTGTATTAAAAAATTGAGCTTAAAAGAAACTTTCGAATGATAAATTCATAAAACTCATGAACTTGTCGCTTATCAATTTTCTCAAAGAAAATGAGTTTCAAATCAAGTAGATGGCTTAATAGAACTATTCTCATTATTATTTCTCAATTAAATGAATCTTCTGTATAATATAAGCTATATTTGAAATAAGTGAAATTTCAAAAGCCGAAAAAGATTAAATATAGTGTAAATATACTATGCTTCTAAAAAGTTACAATTTCTTATAAGATAATAGACTTCAAAACCGAAAGAAAAGCTACATAAAACAAATAAATCATATTTAACAAAAACTAATTTAATTTTTGCAATCTCAAAGTTAGAGCATTTATTTATGTCGATGCTGCTATCTCAAGTAAGGAAAGAATGTTATAATCTTCAATCTAATTTAAATTGTGAAAATGAAAATATACTATAAACATTAAACTTATATGAAATAAGATGAATCTATCTAGAATTTTTTACAGACAATTTTATTGCCTCTAAGACTAAGTGAATGTCTTTATCAAGTGCAATTATTCACTTGCTTAAACAAACTATACTTTGAAGAAATAATTTTTCAGTAATATGGAAAATGAAAGCAAATCTAGCTCTTTTGCTACAAAAAAAAGTTCAAACTTCTTTCGTTATTTACTCTATTTGACAGCACTTATCCTTGTCTTCCCACTTTGAATTTGCACTTAGATTGTGAATGATTGTTGACAGCAAATTAGTCCGATCAAATTATGTAGTTTGAAATAGTTGCGGAAGGAGACATTTTGGTTGTGAAAACATCATTTGCCTAAGATAACTCCCAAATTTTTTGCACCTCAGAAAGGAAGCTGGATTTTATGCTCTAAGGATTATGTCAGTTAAATTCAATTCTCAGAATTTTATGAAATAAATTGCAAGTCTGTATCCCAATATATACCATGATCCAGGATCTTTGCCCCCGTGATCACACATTACATAAGACATAAAACTGAAGCTACGCTTAGATACGCCATGAGAAAAAAATGGAAAAGAATACAAAAAGCCTTTGAAGCTTGTCTCTAATGGCATTAACTCTCATATCAAAATTTTGCACCCTATTTAGTACAGAACTAGTCCCATTAGGCACCACGTACTTTCCATAAATTCTTCTAATAACCCTCTAAAACCATTCTAAAGGTTGCTATACCTCCTTGCAACCGTGCGGCCCTCAAGAGTCTGACCGACAAATCTCTTCGGCTAAAAGAAATTATAGTTAGCTTGTAATCTAAGTGTTATGACAGATTGAAAAATGAAAAGCAAGGATAATGCTTTTTCTACTGTTTCCTTATTAAAATCAATTCTAGCTTTAGCTTTGGCTAAAATAAAAAAATTAAAAAAACACTTCCGGATATAGGCTAATGCAGAAACAATGTCCTGCTTACTTCAATTTTCTTGATCCGCTTTGCATTAAGATTCAAGCACTGTGTTTGATAAACTTGAAAACAGTGCAACCTTCGTTAGCTTAATCATAATTACAATTTCCAGTTTCATATCTTCAGCCGTAATTTTGAATCCCTAGGCATGCTAGTGATAAACTGCCACCTGGTACAACAAGAATTACTGATGTTAATGTGCACAGTGTGCTGTTGCTTGTATCTGTGCAATAGCTAATGTCAATACATGCTACTGCTTGTACCTGTGAAGTCACTGATGCCTATACGTGCTATTGCTTGTGTATATGAAGTCATGCTTATGTTAATGTGCACCATGGGTTGTGGATATGCAAGTCCTGTTTTTTTTTTCCTATATCATGGAATAAGAAGACTCACCTATGATCTTGAATTGTTTGTGCAAGTTGACTAGCCAACGCCGGAAATGAAAGAGGGATCATCTGCAAACAGATTGTAGATATGAAGTGTTCGCATACCTATGTTTGAGATCTTTAAATCAGAAGCAAGCACACTGCCGACCACAATATACCTGACATTCCGCAAGAGTTTCTTCAGCATCACTTAAACTGTACTTTTCATAGTTGGATGGAGCATGAATCACTTTTGATGCTTTCTTCATCCACTTCACCGCATCAATTAGCATGCCTAAGAAAGCACCAGATGGACATGTAACATGAATTTGCTCCTCAAACTCCATCAATCTCTCAATTTCCTACAAAATTGTCATGGCAAGTCATCCAGCATCGCTATACAAAATATTTTTAAATTCAAATAGCAAGCAAGTGAAGATCATAACAAGCAAAAGCACAATCCAATCTCTGCATCATGTCTCTTTTCGTATCCAAGCTCCAGCAAGAAGATCTCAGAGCATCTGATCACAATTTTTATGTAATCGTATAAAAGGTGACACTATCATCATTAATGAGGGAGTGACACTATCATCATTTAATGAGGGAAGAGTTGTGCAACCAGAAATAGAGAGACTGGGTGTCAGATCTCTGGAACTTCTCAATAAAGGCCTCCTCACTAAGAGAACGGTAGTTCACTTTAGAAAAGGAAAAAGTCCAGAGATCAACAATAGCAGCAAAATTTAGCACCTAACAGAATGTTTGGACAACTCTGAGGAAAATTAGGTATTCGAACTAGCCCTCAAGTTAAATAGCCCAAGGATAGAACATTTTATATCTGACCATGAGATTGGTCATGGGAATGAGCCTACTGAAAGACAAGCAATGGGTCTATTAATCCCTTATGACAATTTTGCCTGGTATGTTTCATTTGGCACAAAATAAAGATGTTTCTTGTGAGGGAAGGTTTTTAGGATTCAGAAGGTTTTTACAGATATGCGGAAAAGTTGGCATTGCAAAACTTCGATGACCTCCATGCCTTGCTCTAAAAGTTTCTATTATTATTGAAGAACAGTGATAAAGCTGTGCCCCTTCAAAGAAGAGATGGAGCTTTTTCTGCAAATTTTGCTAATAGGGTCCCACATCAATAGCCAAAAGCCTGGGTGCTAGCACTTCCATGGAAAATCTGTCAAAAATCTTGAGCAACGATAATGAGTGGATTTTTCTGCCTAAAAAATGTTCTTCAGACTACTTGTAGACCAATAAAATAGAATTAAGTGCTGGCTAGTGGTTGTTTTCTCTGCAAAAGGGACATTGAGACAGTAGATAGATCCTTCTAGATCTCCAAAAAACTCTGGGACCTAGACACAGCTCTTGCACTTCAAGGCTTCAATTGGATACTGGCTGTTGGTCAGATTTAAAGATTTTATGCATCTTAACTTCATCAAACTACCACAAGGACTGAAATGAAACAGGCTAATAAATCCAATTTAAGACAGCTAAACATTCCCAACTTCATAAGATAACAGCAATTTGATATAAGAATAAAAGCTATTGAACTTGTGAGAACCAAAAACAGGTGAGCGAATCCAATGAAGTGTAGCTTACTATTCCTAACCCCATGAAAAATAAGTTATTAATCATGAAAACCTGTGACCAAAATAATAGCAGGCTAAAACAAGGTTCAAATGATAAAATCACTTGATCTGATTTCGTGAATGGATTTAACTAAAACAAGAGACTAATCACCTCAACGGATGGGGATATGGCGCTAAACTGGAGGACCTTAATGCACCACTGCAATGCCGAGTGTGCATTTTGAAGTTTTTTTGTTTCACTGAAGTCAAAACCAAGAGAGAGCCCATCTTTGATCGTGGCATCCAGCGAAAGTAGTAGGCCTTCAATTTTTGATGTTAAACTATCCCGCTTTCCATCATCAACATTTCTAAAATCAAACAGGTAGTCTGCATGTTGCAGCAAGGAGCAAGCTTCGTGCTCCCATCGGAAGCAATTCTCCAACATTGTTTCAAGTGTTCTTTTCTCTTCCAGGGATATCTTAAGTAGTTTGGATTCTGAAACTAACTCCTGCAAGATGTAGGTCATCTTCTCAGTTCTACAGAATCAATGCACACAAAAATGGTTCCGTATTTATTGACTAAGTGTTAGCAAGAACCTTTAATTTATCGACTTCAAGCAACAAACTTGAAGAACCTCTATTCATGTGAGCAGACCCCAAAAATGGTTCCGAATTCTTCAACCAAGACTTAGACACTGTGATTGTCGAGATGATCTGAGGTAGAGAAGGTAAAATCACACGAATTTCCTCCGAACTCCTGGCATAAAAAAGTCAAAAATCACTTTCAACAAAAGTTATTGGTAGCACCTTATATGCATTTATATTAATATCCTGTGTCCATTCCCACCACCCAGTCTCACAAATGGGTCCACATGACGCGCACGCATGAGAGAGACAGAGAGAGAGAGAGAGAGAGAGAGAGAGAGAGAGAGAGAGACCTCAAAATTTCCTCATATTCAGGCAGCTGAGCCTCACGAGCTAGAATCTGCACTGCACTTTCTTCCCAAAGTGTAGCAGCATCAACAATCCCAGAAATATATACAAACAAGTTTTCGCCTGCAATCTGTAGTCTGGCAACGTAGAGTCCAACTGAACTTTAAAACGGGTTGAAGTAGTGCATATCAACTAGTTTTGACATTAAAATTTGAGAACCACAACCAAGAATACATTTACCCGACAGCTTCAATCAATAGTTGCTGAAGAAAGTTCAAGGTCATTTTATCTGAACGGGCCTGAAATATATTCAGGATTAAAGGCATTCAACATTCAAAGGATTGATAAAGAACCTTAAAAAAACCCATTCAGGATGAAATACTATCAGCTATAGTAGAAAATACTGGAGGATAGAATAGAAGAACAGAGAGCAGCAAAACATTTGGCGAAGCAGCAGAGTTCGTTACATTACCTGTAGAGCCTTTGCCCTGCAACAAGCCTTCTTCAACTCAAGCTCAATAGGAGGCAATTCTCTAACTGAAAACGGAAACAAACACCCAGGAACATGATGTATTAAGCATATTGTCATGAAAACAGCAGTAAAGGTAACTTCACTCTCAACCCAAACAAGCAAAACTGAAAGGAGATTCAGACCTCGAATTTTCAGAGATGCTGCATCTTTTAGTATGTTGGTCAACTCCTCTACAACATTGTCTTGATCAACTCTTTCATGAATGTTCACCTGGACACTGTTTAAGCGGGATATCCAAGAACTAGCTTGCATATGATATTGCCTTAGAAGCTCGAACTCTGGGAAATTGACAGTGAAACTGTCCATTTCTTGAAGAATCAATTCAATACCCTGTTGGAGTCAGGATTTTCCGAAATTAAGAGATCCAGATATATAGAAAGTCCAATTCCATTCAGCACAGAGAAACAGAAGACAATTAAATGTCAGAGCACTGCTGAGCTAACCTCTAAACATATGGGACCTTTCAGAATTTTAGCACATCGATCTCGGTACGCTTCTGTTTTTTCTAATAGCTCCAGTAGCATTTCAGTCTCCGGAAGCAATACTTGAAGTTCCATAATCTATCCAAAAGAACATGGTTAAAGCATGAATCAAAAGGGTCTGTAGTTCAAAGTAGAAAAGTAGTTATGATTTGTGAACTAAGAAGAGTGAGAATTACCTCTGATTTCAGCTTATATAGGGAGTCAATCTCAATTGCAGCAGTGCATTTCTCCGAGAGGCAGATTCGAACACGATTAATCCACTCCTAAAGAAATAAATTTTTCTTAAACGGGTAAGTCAGGAATTAGCAACTCCAACCAACTTATGAAAACTTCCTGCAGCAAAGGAGTGCCAGATACAGAACACAGCATGCACTAGATAGAAAATCTAATTTTAATCCGTATTAGCATGATTGTGGTAATTCTATTTATCAGATAATTAGAGATATACAAGGAATAATCGCATGAAAACATTGTAAGCATAGTCACGAATAAAATTGAAAATTCAAGGAAACCACATTCTCAATCATTCTCAATCAATGCATGCCAAATTAAAAGCGTCTGCCAGAAAAGCCAGATATACACCAGACCAAAAACAAAATGTCCTCAGTTAATCGCCGTCACCAGCGTAACGATTGAAGTCAAGTGATCATCCACTGGACGTGATAAATCAAGTGTACCATGTAGAGCAATTTTACCCAGTCATGGGCATCAAACTGCAGAGTGCTCACTCACAAACTGACAAAACCCAATTCAGCTTCAACCACTTGGGTGGAAAAAAGAGAACAAAAATTAATAGTTGTTAATCGGAGAACCACGCAAAAACCAGATTAACAGGAATGGCTTTTTAATCTAGACAAACCAGCAAGGGTAAAACAGAACCATAGAACAAGAAGCAAATGGGGCTTCTAGACAAGTAGAGACCAACCTATGACATTTTTGCTACCAAGAGAAAGAATTTAGATAGCTGTAGGGATATGGCTTAATGTATCTTGACCCACAAAACCAATCCTGATAGAGAATTACCTTCATCGAAGAAATTTTCTGCGCCAGTTTCTCATTTCCTTCGACAAGGATTCCTAAGCGACAGCTTCTATCATAAAGGTTTTCCAACTCCAATATCTGGAACAAAAGTTCATAAATAATGACAATATAAATTATGCAAAGAAAATTGGATAAAATGAACTCCATGTCACTATTGATAACTGAGACAATTTCATTTAACTCTTGTCACAATCAAAAGGTCATATAAATTCATGTTATATACTTTTGAAGACGACGAAAGAGTAGATTCAATCTCTCCGGCCAACTTCTTTGCCTCTTCAGCATACTCCTGTACAGATTTTGAGCAAATTACCGTAAGCCACTCAACTAGACAGAGTGCAGGTACATCAAATGCTACAACTTCACAAGCTTCTTCAGAACCTTCAATTTAAGATGTCCAGGCTCGTTACAGGGCATGGTATCAAAACTCAACAATTCAGTGACATATTCTAAATCTGCCCTCTTCACAGCATTACTAGAGCCCAAAGAATGTTTTTCAATTTTTGCGAGACAACTTCTTACACCTTCTGCCCACCTCTGCGCTTCGACTAACTTCTTTGCCATGGTACGTACCTGGATTTGATTGAAGCACACATTCATATATCATCGAATCATATGCATATAATCTGAGAGGAATTTCAGGTAGCTAAAAGGCTTTGAACTAACAGGATCCATTTCAGAACCAGCCCAAAGAAATTGTTCGGCTTCTTTCAACAGTTTTCGATAAATATCCTTAGAGAAAGGACTTTTAAGAGCACTGGTTGACTGCAACAGCCATTGCGCTGCAAGATCAGTCAAAGAAGCATGGCCACCTTTTACCTACAAGAACATATAATCCAGAAGAACATTCTCCCTTACTGAAGAACAAAAATGGCAAGCTAAAATAACAATCTTGACAAGGACAATCAACTCCAGCACAATATTAAAGAACAATAGGAGCTTAGCACAGATTCTAAACATCACTAAACACCACTGAATTTCACTTTGTTCTTCATTGACATTTATTCCAGAACCAAAAAATCATGCAATGACCTCCGTAGAATATAATTTTTTTAGAATGTACATAACTTGCCAGTAGACCAGTAAAAACATCGGCAACTAAGAGCAAAGCAATAAAACCAAATTCAGCTTGACTCTTCCATAAAACAAAGATCATAAAGTACTAAGTATGTATATAAATGAGATGATCCACTTTGCTTAAGATTGACACCTCATCCAGTCATAAATATATAGAATGAACGCCAAGACTGAAGTTGGCTTAATTGCTGCAATTTGTTTTCTTCATGCTTGTTGATACCTCATCCAGTCTCATTGTTAATGACTTAGCAAGTCTTGTATCTGACATTACCTTTTTCGCTAAAGCACTTGTTTCACTGGAGCAAGATCTTTGCTGAAGCACCTTACTCCTTTGAGTCTCCTTACCATTGTATTTATCGACAGTGAGCAGCAAGTCACTGAACTCTGCTAATGTATGACGGTAAAGGAGGCGATGTTTGCTGGGTTTGCATTCACAGATGTGTTGCCAGTGCTGCACAAAAGGGGTCTGATGATGAGGTCAAGAATCGCCAACTCTGGCTTTAGCCCCAAAAATGATGATGAAGAAGAAACACTTCATATAATTGGGTGAGGTGATTCATTTCTTTGAATATGAACCCAACCAAAGAAGATGTTATTTACGGTGCCATGTCAGATCAAAGAGAGGAAAGTACAAGTTTTTTTTTGGTCGGATTGGAAAGTATAAGTCACCAGCAATAATATGACAAATCAAAAAATTAGAACCAGAACCATTGATGTAATCAAACTTTTCTTTACAAATTCAATCCTATCATACGCTTTTTAAAATTATGACTATAAAGATGTATTTCATCATGACAGAGCCCTTCTACAAGGGCCTCATCTTCATGAATGATTTCACTCATTGAGCCCACGTAAGTGCCATACTCTAAGTTCCATAAGTTCAAGATCCTCCTTTAGGGGCGAATGTTTATGACATTGCAGTATTGCACATGTACTAGGCTTTTGTTTTCACTACCAATTTACTAAATTGATTGACTCTGACCAAAAAAACTACATAAATAAATTGACAGGATAATAAACCAGACTACAGTTTCCACGTACCTCAAGACAAACAAAGGCAGATGGCCTACAATCACAAACAACTGCAGAAAGATAAAGATATTGCTGACATATAATGCACATAGGATCCTACAAAAAAACCAAAACAAATTCATCAACTTGCATCATATTGACAAAGTCATCAAAAAGCAAGAGTTAAACATGAAAGGCCGAGTACCTCCTCAGTCCCCACGCATTCAGGACGTGTCCGTGGTGGCATTGGAGATGATTTTACAATGCCATTTTTCCAGAGTCGCTCCCTCCAACCTTTCTCCTCTGTATAAATTCTAAGTAATTCTTTCCTCAGAAAAGGTGACGCTTTTCTATCATAATTACTCTGCACATTGCACAAAAAGGTAACCAGGGACATTTCTATAATATGGAAGGACCTCTTAGCGAGCAAAACTTAACTTTGAAAAACAACTATCATCATAAGGAAACAGCAATTATTAATCCTTCCAATCAAATCAATGAAAGAGGCAAACACAGAAATGATGATTATCATGAGTCCATCACAAAATACCAAAAACAAAGAAAATATTCCAAGGTAAAGAAAGTCAAATGCACAACAGGCAAGAGCATTGAGCCATGACTCTTCGATAGAATAGCCCACAATTTTGATACTTGTAGTTATAATCCAGAACCAATTAAACCATGAAGAAATGGCCTAAAAGCAAACAACATAAATATATAAATGACAACTACAAATTACGCCCAATAATTTCATCACAGATAATCCAGAAGCACAAATGAGTATTGACATTTACATTGAAACATCAAATGGGTAAGTACTTTGCTGAAGCCTAGACATATCGCAATTTAGACTAATCCAATCTTTGCTCAAGCTACATATCACTCCTAAAGACCAGAAATTGCTGAATCAACTGCTCCTCCAGAACGGCTGGTAATACCACTTAGGGCGGATAGACCGTCCACCCAGTGCCGGTACCCAATTCTACTAAGTCTGGGCTTAATAGGAGCAAGAGACTTGGTGGCAACAACATAGAGGGAGAGGGAGAGGGAGAAGGAGAGGGAGAGGGAGAGGGAGGTAGGGAGATGGTGGCCGAGCACAGGCTGCTGGAGCTTAACATCCTCACTATTTAGCAACTCTATAGTAAGACAACTCTCCTCTTGTTTTCTAACTAGAATGAGGTCCATTGAGGATGGGACAACAAATAGACCCATCAAGTCCAATGCTTCAAATTATATGGAGTCATGTTCACAATCCTCATGAAATCTGTAAACTAAGAGAACGTGGAAACAGAGCTGCTGTACAAAGAAGGAGAAGGAAAGATAGGACTCCTTTTAGGCATCAATCTTGTGCTCCTATTGTTTTTTTTTGGTAAGGTATCTTGTGCTCCTATTGTTGAATGCCAAATAGTCAAAGAGAAGAGCTATCATTCAACTATTTGAAATCTCCTTCATCTTTGCACAGGAACGATTCCAGAAGTGGAAGTGCTATCATCATCACCCAATATCAAGACAAGATTCTTATTCAAAAGCAAAGTGCAATCCCTCCACAAAACTGATTTGTCCACAAAAGCGTGAAGTATGAGGCATTAGGCATCACCATTGCCCCCACGAATGTACGGTGGCAGTTATAACCACAGATAAACTAAGAGAGCATCATTCATAATTTGTTCAACAGCAAGTACAAAGAATTTCCAATTGAGTAAATTACTGACTGTCTGACTCCATTTATCTCACATCTTTTGTAAAGCAGTCACCCGCTTTATATCACTGACCTCCATACACAACAAAAAGAATAACATTAAAATGTTATGTCAGCATGACATATTCTTGTTCATTAGATCTGCCATAAACTGTAACCGACAGGCATTACTTTAGGACAGAAACGTAGCATGAAGTTTACAGGACAACTTGGGCTCTCAAAGGAGATATTGTAACCCACTTGCGGAAAGTCCAATTTTTGGGCTTCTCCCTGGAAACTGAAGGGTGAAGGATGGGGAATCCTAAAGAGTATTCTCAAGGGAGATTTTAAATTACTCATGTGACAGATGGCTTCAAGTTTGAATACCTTGGCAACAACACAAAGAAGCTCCTCGTGAGACAAGACAGCAGGTTTCCGATAGAGTCGATACAGCTCAGAACTGTATCCACCATGCGGAATCCAGTCAGCAGGAGCAAAATTTACAGCCTCGGCACAATTTAGACCTGAAAGTATAAACGAATAAAATTATCCTGCACGTGCACACACGTTGCACTTGTTCAACATTCATCTAGTCATCACAAATGTACCATACCAAAATTGAAACCACCATGGAACGATCTAGGGAAGGTGATTACAAAGTTGCCAGGCTCCTGAACCAAGAAAGAAAGCGCAAGTTCAATATACATTTTCTTTCTGATCACAGCATGAGTTCAGCAGACGTGACCAAAAAAGAAGTAAAACAGAATCTTTTCAAAAAATTATCATATCTAAGCCACATATAAAAGCACATGCGCTTGACAGCTTATCCATGGAATGCTCTGGTGCCACTTTCAAGATGCTTCAGCCATCCAGCCCACAATATATGAGTACATGGTACACTAAACCTATGAAGTCACCATTTTAAAAGTTTGAGCGCTCATCCAGTATCACATGGTAACAACCTATTCAACTTGAAATCTCTCCTCAAAAGCAGGATACAAGAAATCACTAGCTGATTCTTTTTTTCCAGATTTGCTTTGTGTGCTCTTCAATTGGAATAAAAACACGCCTGTTTAGTACTCAAGAAGGACAGAAACACAGAGCTTTTGTCTCAGAATATTGTACCTGGAGAATACTGTAAACTGGAACGCCATTTTCTTGCAGCACGGAGGGATTCAGCATTGTAACAAGCTGAAAGAGAAGGTCAGGTTGAGCATCAAAGAGGTCAGGAAGAGTCTCTCTCATCACCTGTTGGAGAAGAAGAGTTCCCTTAAAATTATACAAGAAATGAAGGTGGATAGAGGCATATGCATTGCAAGTTAGTAGTAGAACTAGTTTCTGAAACAGAATGATTGAGGCTGGAGAAGACCGAAAAGTATCTACAAGGGCTGATGGAAAAATGCAAAAAAAAGTTTTCATCTGAAGTTTGTTGATAAGAAGGTTACCTTCTCAAAAGCACGGGATTCACTACCAGGAACGCTGTACCAACATTTTGGTTCTCCCCTTAAAGACACAAGGAGAAGTGTTAACATACATTTGGCAACAACCGACACAAATTAATTATCTAACTAATGTTGGAAACGACCTTCCAAGCTAAGTACCATTGGACAAGTAAAATTCCACAAACACCCCAAAACATGTTTGAACCCAATCCTAGTACATAATAGGGGTAATGACACAAATGATCCCTGAACTTTGGCCCAATGTGCAATGTGGTCCCTGAACTTTTTATTTACTCAATATGGTCCCTGAATTTTAGCTCAATGTGCGATGTAGTCCCTGAACTTTTAATTTTTTCAATGTGGTTCCTAGACTTTTGGCATATGTTCAACTTAGTCCTTGAATTATATGAAAATGTTCAATGTTGTCCTTCCATTAATTCAAGTTCAGTGACAACATTGAACATTTTCATATAGTTTAGATACTAAATTAAATATGTATCAACAGTCCAGGGACCATATTGAACAAGCTGAAAGTTCAGGGACCACATTGTACATTTGGCAACTATACAGGATCACATTGAACAAATTAAAAGGTCAGAGACCACATCGCACATTGGGCCAAAGTTTAAGGACTATTTGTGTCATTTTCCTACATAATACTATGACAGCAAACAAATAGAATGTTCTCAAAGATTCAAGTAATGTGGGACAAAAATTGTGCATATCCAAGACAAAATGGAAAGAACATGCAAAGTAAGTCTAAATCAGAACATGAAATTTGAACAGCCTCCAAATCTTCAAAAGGTTCGGAAAACGAAAACCTTTATAACTAATTGTCAAAGAGATATGCTGTTTCAAAATGCTTCAGACTACCCAAGGAAAACAGCCTGAAGCTCCTCAGCCATTTTTACATTGAACAGCATAAAGCTAATCAATTTAGATCCAAAATATGGGCAGGCATCAATTAGTAATCAAATATCTATCTTTGGCATCTTAATCTAATTGGATATTATGATGGTTGCTCTCCATGTAAGAACTATTGGCAAAGACCACTTATATTAACAAAATCTGAAGAAAAACTTGACTCCATAACTATATTAACGATACTTCCAAATTTAAAAGGGCGCTCTCCATTTGACAGCTGCTACTTCTACCAGTGTCATATATTTCCAGGGGAACCTTTGTTTCTTGATAGACAAATTTATCTAAATATGCTATGATTCTACCAATTCGGTTCAATAGAATACAACTAATAGTGAAAAAAGAATCACCAGGGGCGGCAGTCCAGATTTTTCCAACCCCTAACCTCAAAGCCTGTGTTAAAAAACACACATCAAAGTTTGAATCTAATGTGCGTTGATCAAATCATGCGAGGCTCACTTACTTCGTTGATATTATAGATGCAAACTAAGGCTACTACAATTGCTCAAAAATTTCTCAGTCTGAATGTGTCAGAATGCTACCCCATGGGTCCCAGATAAATAAATGTTTTAGTGGATCCATATATTTCAACCCTAAATTTTCTACGGTCAGTTAATACTCACCAATAACATAAAGAAACAATGCCATATAATCACATGGAAATTATTGTCAAAACAAACTCATTCCAATATTCACTAGTTTTCAACTGACCGATTTATTTATTGCTGTGCAGGGCAATAAACTCAGAATACCGAACGAAAGCTCCACTAATTTCTAAAATTAGGTTCAACACCCAACATAAAGAACATATATTTCAATATCGCATCACTGATTTTTTTTCAAAAGACAGGCAATTCTCTCCTGGCCAACTTAAATAAAGAAAAATCAAAGGGTAAACCCTCATAAAAGAGGGCTGCGCGGTAAGAGCATAATGCATAATAGACGATACTAATATAGATAGTTAAGCCAAACCAACGCTGAAAAACAAAAGAAAATTCCGGTTAGAAAGGCCTTTTTCGTTGCATGATATCTTAGGATTTTGCTTTAAGATAGCGACTGAACTCATCTTCCACGGACTTTCAAAGGGTTCAGAAATTCACTAAGTCAAACAAGTTTCGATCTACCATCAGTTGTTAAGGCCTAAATCTTCTCATACCAGAAATGCTCAGAGTACACTGTAACCTCAGGTAAAGATGGCATATGGGCCGGGCCGGGCCAGGCACGGCACAGCCCACCCCCCCCCCAGTGAAAGGGAGAGGGGTTGTGTGTGTCCTCACCAGAGCCCTGCACAGCATGCCGCCCATCCTGGGCTGCGCTGGCCCAGTCCGTGGACGCTAATGGGCCAGCCTGACCGAAAACTCTTTTTTAGTTTTTTTTGCAAACTTTTTGGGCCCGCCGGCCAACAGTAGCCGAAGGCCCCACAAAGAAGAATTCACAGGCCACTGTGGCCTTGAGGGTGGAAGAAGAGTGTTCAGCACGATGGACCCAAACCACTACCACCCCCCCCCCAAAACTAAAACAACAAAACCCCAACCACACAAACACAATAAGACACATGGAAGAGAGAAAGCGCAATTTGGTTGTGCTGCTTTAACATGATGAAGTGTAGATAAGGGTGACCCATAAAATTTTACCTAAATTTGATTATCAAATTCCCAGTAGAGCTTTCAGTATAACAATTAAAATAACTTTTAGTTACTCTTTTACGCATCATTCGGGTTTAAGTCGGTTTAAGGTATTGTGCTATTTTAGGCCAAAATAAGGAGTCCCGTAAATAATGATTTTAACAGAATATGGACACTAAAATAGACAAAGGGGTATTGCCAACCAATTCCATAAGTACAAGGGTTATCCTACCAAATACTACCAGAATCGAAGTGCAAAGGGCCACTCCATCATCAAAAGTACAGCGCATCAAGCACAGAACCCAAAGACTACACCGGCATGAAAAAATTCAACAAGCCCCGAAAACAGAAATATTCAAGCTCATTCCAAAAAAAAATTAAGCAGGTTCAGCTAGGCCAAGTTCAACTTTCCAGACTCTAAGCTTTCTTCAACACCTCTACCCAGCAGTCCAACTAAAAATAACTCTGGTAAAGATTCTACTACAGATCCAATGCCACATCCTCAATTGTGTAGTTAAATCACAATCCATGCACCAACAACCTCGAGAGAAAGTGGAAAACAAATTATTCTTCCCATTTTCATCACATGGGATGTAAAGTTGGACAGTTGAACTAGATAGAGTCCTTTCCAAAAAAAATCATGCCGCCAAATGCAGCAGGGCATGATATGAAACTTCCTGGTTTGATCAAAGGTTTTAGTCTTTTCCTTTTACAAGCTCAGTCAATTCATGCTCTTAATTCTCCTAAGTCCATGGAATTGAACTGCAGAGTGGTTAATCTGATTATAAATCAACAGAGAACATTGAGGGACCGGAAATCTCTTCTATGTTAACAAACCATGAAAAAACACTATTGCATTTATAGAAGAATCACGCACCTAAATAATGATTCTTGCTTATGTTAATCATACATGTACCCAAAGTCCATTTTTGTTTTGACTCATAAGTACCAAGACTCGTAGTCGTGAGCACCAACGAATGTTACTAATCCAACATAAATCAACATCGACAGTGTATTGTGCCTCTTCTCGACAGAATAGACAAGCACGGGTTTCCACCATGGGAAGGGTTGGAGGCAGCCAATAAAACAACATAACTAAAAGATATTGCTTCACCAAGACAAGACGCATACCAATGGAGATAGTTCATTGAGTAAAAGCAGTGATCTTCAAAATGCCAGCAAAAGGATGAGAACAGCATGCCAACATACAGCCAGGGCACCATTACACCAGCAATGCTATTACGAACAGCATGAAGCATAGAGCCTTTCAACTTGGGCAAGTTATTAAGATTCCATGGGCTAGCACGATATTCATCCCATACCTTGGACTCAACTGAATCAGGTCTCTCGTCATTTACACGTGGGAAGCCACTCCCATATACAGAAGTGTCCAAATCACTACCGTACATCACCTCGACCTTACCCACTGATCCCTCTACAATTTCCCAGAACTTTTTCTCCACTTGAACCCTTGAAACAGAGCCAGACCCAAACCACTTCTTCTTGGCCCGATCAGCAATGCGCTTGAAATCTTCCATAGAAAATTTCTTCCCCGGAACAAAACCAAAATTATCTTCATTAGAACTCGAGCAGTCCAAGCAATACCAGTTCCCTGGTGGAATCTGCTCCAATGGCGGGGAAAGACAGTAAATGTGCCAACCCTTATTGCATCTATCGCATAAAAGCATCACTTCTCCATGCAAACCACTATCGCACTGTTCACAAATCTGATCGTACCGTTCCTCCGCCACCTCATCCTTCATCTGGCGAAGCTGAACCTTCCCAGCACCTTCATTCCTCCGCCTCCTTTTTGAACTCGAGCACTCCGGCCCATTTTCACTCTTTCCCCCTGGCTGGATTCTCCTCTTGCAAATCTTGGCTTTCTTCCTATTTAAACGATTATAATAACCCTCATAATCATATAAATGCTTGCGATAAAACTGACACAACACATGCTTTGCACACTCGGAGACCTTTCCCACCGACCTCACGAACCGGAAGACATCACCCCATTTCTTATCCTTCACGACTTTATCATACCCGCCGAACCGCTTCACAGCATTGAACAGCCTACACAGGTCCAAATCCGCCCCTTCGAAAACCACCCTCGCCCTCTTCTTCGACTTCTTCCCACAATGCTCCTCCAAGAACCTACTGTACTCCAGCTCGAACGTCTCCGAGTCGCATGCGGCCGGCCGGGCCTGCAGCTGATGAATGGCCTGGGTCTTCGTCGGGAACGTGAACTTATCCAAGTCTAGCGCGAACGGCGGCTTCCAACTCTTGGGCGGCACGATCTTACAAACCCCATACGGCTCCGCCTCCGGCCTGATCTTATCAATATACTCCAACGGATCGCTAAACTCCTCCTCGGTCGGGCAGAATACCGGCCCGGGCAGCACATTCAGCGACGGCGACGCGCCGGGGGTCTGCCTCAAGACCCCTTTCTCCACGGCCCTAGGCCTTCCTTTACCCATCTAACAAACACCAGAGGCTCGCGCATCAATGGCGGCTACCACAGCAACGAGCAACACATGCACCAGCCACAAACCCGACACCTAACAGCAACACGTATCGCCGCAATTCGATTCAGGAAGCCATTGGAGCGCGGAATCAAACCGAGCGGAAGCGAGTTTCTAGGGTTTCGAGCGTACCTTTTCGCCCAAGGAGAGAGCCTCTGGCTTTTGCCGGGGGGGGGGGGAGGGGAGGGGGGAAGCAGTTGTTGGAGCGAGAGCGAGTTTCGTGGGGGGAGACGATTGTTGGATTGAAGGAGAAGTTTCGTGGAAATCTTGCAGTTGAGGGCTCCGCGAACGCCGAAATTGCAGGATGGGGCTTGCTCGCGTGCTTGAGAATTTCTCGCCGGCTCGCTCGGTCTTTTGTTTTTACTCGCAGCAGCGCCGGGCATTACGAGGTTGGGGATGCGGATGCAAATGCCGACGCGCACGGTCCGGAGACGAGTGCGGAGCACGCGCGGTGTCACGGCCGTAGGATCTGGGAGCGTGCGCGGGGAGGGGGGGTTGTGGCGCGAATGGACGGGAGGGATCGGAATTTGCGGCGCGTGCGCGAGTCGAGGGAGAGTGGACGTGGGGGGACTGGGCCGTAACTCGAGAGATTGACCGGCGGTGCAGTTGACTTGCACGTGTGAGAAAATGAAAGGTCATCGGTTATGATTGTCATTGAGCTCGGTTGGATGATTTATTCGAAATCTCTTTTTTTTTTTTAACAGGGTTATTCCAATTTTTTTTGTTGGTCGAAAGATTATTACTATCTTGACAAGTCAATTTGGGGCTCGTCATTACTTCAAACTCGACAAATTCGCGATCATAGCTGAATTTCACTAGAATCCATGTGAATGCAAAATATCGTGCATGTAAATTTGAGCTCGAATTAAAAGATAACTTTATTTATAATCTTTCTAGCAAAAAAAAACTTTATTTGTAATTTAATTACAATCGAGTCGAGTGGAGTCTAACTCAAATATCTCAACTTTATAGTAGAGTCGAATTTGGATGGGACATTTTAATGCTCGATTGGGTCCAAGCAGCCAGAGTTTCAAACATTGAGAGTGCAAGTCCCGTTCCTTTGGAAATCCGGTAACGATCAATAGGCGGGCCCAAATAGGCCCGCGAAATGGCTAAACCGGGCCTAGCATGTGGCCCGAACCCGTATAATAACCCGGATTTGGCACTTGGGTATGATTCTCACCTTGGTAGGTAGAGCCTAGTTCGCGAGAAAGTATTCTGTGGTTGCTAACCACCATGTCATAGGCTGACATGGCATGCGTTTTTTTGCGAAATCCAATCACAAATTGACACGTGACAATGACGTGGATAAATAAAAAAATCAAAAATCTGTCCAGATTTGTTTCTCTCTCTTCCTCCGTTCACAGCGAGCTCTCCTCCATCCGCAACGGTGCGCTCAGTCCCCCACCGCCGGATCCATCTAGGGCGCTCGAACTCGTCGTCGTCCTTGTTGAAGAGCATGATACTGTTTTGCTGGTCTGCAATTTGTTTGTAACCTCTTGAGGGCTCCTGGATTTGAAGCGATTTACCTTCCGTTGTAACGGCAGGGTTTGCAGTAAAGCTTCGCACACCATGAAGCAGCCTTCATCCGCGAAGAGTAAAGCAGCCTTCGCTCGCGGCCAAGGCTCCGTTGTCGGCCTCAATAGACGAGCGTCGGCGATTTCCAGATCTGTGGAGAGTAAGGGGGTGTTTGGTTCAGCTTTGGGAAGGGGCTTTGAGCCCCGAAAGCCCCTTCCCAAAATGCTGGAGTGTTTGGTTCAATATTTGGCAAGATTGGCCAAATGCCAGATTCCACGAATGCTACTTGTTCACCAATATTTTTTTTTTGAAGCTGTTCTTCACCAAGCAGCCGGCGAGGGCGGCCGGCAAGGGAGAAGGCCCGGCGAGGTCGGGCGACCACCGGCGAACTAGATCTGCCGCCGCCAGCGGTCGCCCGAGGCCAGGCGACCCTCGACGGGGGTCGCACGACCTAGGCGACGGCCGCCTCGGTCGCGCGACCTCAAGCGGCCGTCGCCTGGGTCGCGACCCCAGGCGGCCGTAGGCCCTCGCCGGCGGCCGGCTCCGGCGATGGTAGGTTTTGTTTTTTTTTTTTAATAAATAAAATAATTCTCAAAGTCCATTTGCAAAAAAAATTTACCAAACACTATATTTTGGCCAAAGTAGCTTTACAAAATTTTTTTACCAAACACCATTTGCATTTCCTCAATGGGCTTTCACCCAAAGTATTTGCATTCCCCCAAGTAACATTTTCAAAGTTGAACCAAACAGGGCCTAAATCAGCCTTGGTTCACGGCCAAGACTTCAGATCTAGATGGCTTGGCCGTGAGCGCCTAAATTTCCAGATCTGTATCTGCGCGCTACTCCAGATCTAGCCGAACGACACCCATGGACGAGCATCGGCGTCGCTTGCGAGATTGGCTCGTCCATGGCCAGTGACGCTGCTGTCCATGGCCGCGGGCCTTTGTCGTCCATGGCCTTAAAAAGCAAAAAGAAAAACAATAGAGGCAGCTTGCCGGTGGTCCATGGCCGCCAGAGACTGAATGCTCAAAAGGCATAAAAAAAAAAAACAGAGGCAGGTCGTCGGAGGTCCACAGCTGCCGGCGATGTGTGTGAACGCACGGTTGCAGATGGAGGAGAGCTCGCCGTGAACGATGAGGAGAGGAAGAGAGAGAAACAAACCATGACAGATTTTTTGGATTTTTTTCATTTGTCCACGTCATTGCCACGTGTCAAGTTATGATTGGATTTCGCCAAAACATATATGCCACGTCAGCTTATGACATGGTGGTTAGCAGCCACCGAATACTTTCTCCCAGTTCGCGTTCTAAATTTGGACACGTGAACGAGACAAGATCGTGCGGCCAAGATTGGATGTGTCCGCGTTCATGTCAATCGGAGCCAATCATGGTGGGTTATTGGATTCTTGTAGAAGGCTCCGGTTCACTAGGAATCGCTCCATGAATTCTCTTGCGCCCTTTCGTATTGGATTTTCTTCAGAAGTTACTAATTAACTTTCCCGACATAAACTAAAGCATTATTTGAATTTTTAAGATATTATAGTGAAAGCATGCGCGATTATTTTCAACAATTTTAATTCATTTTGAAAGATCTCAACTCTTTCCGGTGCAAAAAAAATTTAAAGATGGGTGAATTGTAAGATTTGAAAAAAAAGTAAAAACGCAGATCTTATCACCTGAAAGATGGTAAAGGAGGCGACCTGGAAATTTTTTTAATTATTTTAGAGAATAACACGATTCACTTTTATAAAAATTATTCGTTAATGAATTATTTCATCAAGTCGCGACGAATTAAAAAGTCACATCACGATCCGAAACACCTAAAAATGTCACGGTGGTCACTTCCAGAGCATGGACAAAGTGGTGGAAGAACCCTCTACGATTCTCAATCGGGTCCACTCGTGTTTCGTCTCCTATTCGCAGTGCGTTTGAAAGGAATCTTCGCGTCCCCATTGTTCGTTTCCACTCCTCCTTGCATCAATCATGAATTTATAAATTGAGCCAAAAAAAAATAAATAAAAATTGTATACGTCAACGCCGACCAACATCTACGTTAGCAATTTCTGTCCCAAATTGGTCGCCGTACAATAAATTTAAGGCTTTTGGACTATATTATCTTTTCTAGTAGTATCTAAAAAGAAGAGACAATCTATATCGAAGCTGCTATAACTAGTTAACCTTCCATTTCAAGTAGCGCACGTGACGATGAAGAGGTCTCGAGCTGCCATTTCAAGAGTCAAAATTGGAAACTTCGACCCATTGCTCGCCCGTCTAGGTTTTCTCCCCCTTTTGCTGGGCAACCAAAATGGAAAATGGGAACCCGTCGGGTGCGTTGACTTTTCGGCCAACCTTTTGCCGAAAGAGTCTCTCGGAAGCTGCTGGGGATTACATAGGTCAATAGCCGTAGTATTAAATTAACACTAATCCATACATATATTTATGATGTTTTTCGCTAAATATAATACAGTCTCCGCACCAACCGGGATAAGATTAACATCAAAAGTATCTCGTCTTTCCTCCCAACGAGGTCCTTCTCTCCCCATACACCACAATTCGGGCCCCGTTTATTTCGCGATAAACGAACGATTTGTAAAACATTTTTCTTAGAAATGATCGCTTATACTGCTTACGAAAATGTACGAATGAAAAATTAGTTTCATCTTGCACAAAAAATGTTTAGACACGAATTGCCGCCGATAATAAAAATATCTTCCATTAATTAATTATTCCAAGCAATACAGGCGATTAATTTTAGAAAAATATTTTTCAAACCATTTAATTTTTCGCAAAAACAAACGGAGCCTCGGACTCTTTTTTTTTTTTCCTTTTTCTTATTTGAAAATCAACAGAAAGCAAAGGGAGGGAAATAAATACTGAAAATATCTTTCTACCTACTTTATTTAATTAAGCATTCCTACTACGTTGGTGAGGGCTTGAGAAATACACCACGATTTTATTGTTTTTTTCGCTGGAAATATCATCTAACCCCATGTGGATATTTGCCCTAGAAGGAGACGTGCGCGTTTCATCCCCCATCCTATTTTTGGCTGATTAGGAAAGCCAGACGAGACGCACCGGCACAGCAGCAAGATCGTTAAAATCGGGATTTTATAATAAGATCACTAAGGGCCCGTTAAACCGTATTATAAAATATTGTAATAAGTGGTGAATATAATGAAAATATTATAGTGCAAAGCCAATTGAAATATGTCAAATAGCGAAAAAAAAAAACCTAATGAAAATATAGTTGTGCAAAACGGACTGCCCAAATCGGGAACTGTCCGGATCGGACCGAACCGGTCGGCTGGGTTCGATTCCCGGTTCCTAAATGTGGAAATGGTGTCAGCGCGAAGGAACCGGACTGATTACATATATATATTATTTTTATTTATTCAAAAAAATTAGTAAAATGTGAACTATACCCTAAGTGAAGTACTTCGGTCCTCTCAGCTTCTCGAGTCTCATCTAGTCGCCACTCGCCGACGTCAGTTCGTGTTCGCAAGGGGTACTACTCAACACCACCCATCTTGACCAAAAAAAAAAAAAACACCACCCATAGGAAATAATGCAATGTCCTAGACTTATAAGTGTACAAATAAACAAGGGGGTAATACTAAACACCGTAATATTGTTTCCAATGGGTCTCTTGTCTTTTTTTTTTTTTTAACTTCCATCATAGAAATTAGTAACGCATGTGTAATCGACATGTATTAACCAGCCTAGATCGATTCGTCATCGCATTGGCTTGAACTGCACACTTATTTTTGTGATTATGTATAGTCGATATGGAAAATGCAATTCTAATTTCAAAACACATGGCATCAAGCAATGGAAAAAAAAATGACCGAATTCATTGAACCGGACCGATCGAATTAACTTTGACCTTGCAACCGGGAACCGTCCATCCCTAAATCCAAATACTCGATTGCGCCAAACGAAGATGACCGGTAGGAGGACTAAACTCTAAAAAAAATTCCTATTCGCGGGTGCTGCCCTTTTTGTTGTGTACCGTTTCCTTTCTCGGAATCGAGAGATCGAAGGGGAAACAGATACTACCCGACCACCGACACGTGTGCGTGTTCCTTCGCCGGCGAGCCTCCTCTCCATATCTCTCCTTCGTTGCGTAATTATAGACCACAAGCTGCGACACTCCCCCCTTCGCTCTGTCCCTCCGCACCAGAAAACGTGAAAGATTCATCCTGCCCCCGTCCTACCTCCTATATCCAAAGAGAATCTCTCCGGCACGCATCCCTAAGTCCTCCCCTCCAGCTTCCGGCGAACATCTCTCATCTCTCATCTCTCCTCTCTCCTCCCTCCTCCCTCCCACGGGTTCCGCTTCCTCTTCGTCTTCCCTCTCCTCTTCTTCTCGCTCTTGCCCTCCGGACCCGCGTGTGTACATACAGTGCGCGCAAAGCAATCCCATCCCTTCTGTGAATTGTCTGTTCCCCTGATAGTTCCGGTGTCCAATTGGGTACTGGTCCCGATTGGAGGCTCTCGGGGACGTGGCTTGTTGGGATACGGGGGCGCGTGGGGGGATTGTTGGGTTTGCGTGTTGGTTTTGGCTTCTGTTGCTGTCGAAACTTCTGGGTCTGTGGAGATATGTGCGATTTGGATATTGGGTTTTCGATCGTTTAGCGTTTCGGGGGGAGGGCGTGTGTGTTTGTGCCTGAATTTGGCTTGGAGTGGAGGGCCAAAGATGGTTCTTTGACTGTGAAGTTGGGTTTTTTTTCTGGTGTGAAGGTTGTGTTGTTCCTTGCCACTTTTGGGTTTTATTCGGACTTGTAGTAATAGTACGGGGTCTTTGATTGATTTGTTGTCGAACATGGGTGGCGTTGCTGGATTCTGAGTGAGCATCAGCTCGGGTTGTGTGGATTTGGCGGCAACTGTTGGTCAGGAATTTTCGATCCTGTTTTGGTGTCGCTTGATCGAGTCGAACAGGACGCTGAATTGTCTTGGGGCTAGAGAAAAATTTTAAGTTAAAGAGACCGAGACTTGGTTGTGTTGACTGTTGAGCAACTTTCGTTGAGTTAGGATGGTGGAATCGGTTGCTACGACTTCTCTTCTCGGGCATCGGGTGTTGTATGGCGGAATTCCTGTCAAGGATGCCTCTTGCAGGAGGAGATCCCCTGATATGTGTCGGTTTCCTCCAACCGCATTCTTAGGAAGAAGGGTGGTCACTTCTGTCTTGCCCAGGGTGCGAGTCGATGCAGCATTAGTTTCTTCAATTAAGGCGCTCGCCATGGAGTTGACAAAAGAGGCATATTCGTACAGGGAAGAAGAGAGAATTCCACGGAACTTGAATTATGAGACTGGCTTGGATGTTGACAGGAAGCCTGGTTTGTGGCCGCCTGAGAATAGAGCCGATGATCCTTCACTACATAACCCATTGCTTCGACAAGAACGGATGGGTTGTGGTTGGTTAGGTGCCATTTTTGAATGGGAGGGTGTTTTAGTCGAAGACAATCCAGATTTCGAGAAGCAAGCTTGGCTGGCTCTTTCTCAAGAAGAAGGGAAGTCCCATCCTCCCACTTTTATCCTCCGGAGGATAGAAGGCATGAAGAATGAGCAAGCTATCTCCGAAGTTCTTTGCTGGTCGAGAGATCCGGCTGAGTTGAGGAGAATGGCTGCAAGAAAGGAGGAGATTTACCAAGCTTTACAGGGAGGAGTTTACAGGTTACGAGATGGGTCAAGAGAGTTTGTCAATGTTCTGATGCATTACAAGATACCGATGGCACTGGTCTCCACCCGCCCCAAAAAGGTTGTCGAAAATGCCATCGGTGCCATTGGTATTAAAGGGTGTTTCAATGCCATTGTAGCTGCTGAGGACGTTTACAGGGGGAAGCCCGATCCCGAGATGTTCGTGTATGCGGCGCAGCTTCTTCAGTTCATACCCGAGCGCTGCATCCTGTTTGGCAACTCTAATCAGTCGGTCGAGGCTGCCCATGATGCACGGATGAAGTGCGTGGCTGTCGCTAGCAAGCATCCCATGTTTGAACTTGGGGCTGCAGATCTGGTGGTCAGGCATTTAGACGAGCTCTCAGTGGTTGATCTGAAGAACCTTGCCGATACTGAAATGGCAGAGTTCGGTTCGAGGGAGCTGGAGCTGGAGATGGAGGAAGAGGTAGAAACCGACCCAGATAGGTCATCCCTGGCAACCGTCGACGATAATTTCTGGTAAACTTCAATTGAATGTACAGTCATATCTAAGTACAAATATATATCACTTTTCTGATTCTTGATGATGGCAATCCCACGATAGCCCATGTATAAGGGGGCAAAAGAAAAAGAAAATAGAAAAGAAAAGTTGGTCTGCATTGGACTGACTTTTCATTTTATCATGTACTATACTGTGATTATATGTACAATGCTCTGTAGCTATTCAAAACTGCTTGTTACCCACTTGTTCTGATTCAAGAATATGTGAACCTCTCACGACATTATTTGGCCCTTTGGATGGTCTGACCTATTATGACTTGCTTTGATTTCGCAAAGCATCTTACAATTGGTACGGTTTATATGTTCCTGGCATAAACCTTGCATGCAACAAATTGATAAGCTAACTATTCAATTTTCTTCTGCTTATACTGGAGAAACTAATCCAACGTTCAGTTCATAACTTCTTTTTTTCTTTTGGTCGAAGACTGTTCATAACTTCACCCAGGATAACTAATCACTAGAAATTTGGAATGAACTTGCCATGAGAATGGCCATTTCATGGAGGTCACTCTAATTTTTTCCTTCTGCAAATAGAATAGCATTTCTCATTCCAGCACCATCTCTTCCTCCTACGCTACTCCACCAGCAGCTACCCGTGCAGTCATATATCCGGGCAAAACTGAGAGGAAAGAAATTATGCCCTCATTGGCTTGTTGCTTTAGATTGTCAATTCTCAAGATTTTCCATGGACTTCAAACAAAAACCAATACCAAATTACACATTAATCGCAATCAACCATCTTCTCTACATCACAGATCCTGAGTTCGAAGTGATGTGGCCTGTAGTGAGCAAGTCTCAGCTACGTTGGTTCTGCATCATTTGAGACTGGGACGATCTCGCTGGGTTTCAACATTTCTTGAGCTCCTGGTAAACAGTCGAAACATGGTCGGCCGACTAACATCTTGAAGCCGTCTTTAACTTAAGAGTAATCTTGAAGATCACTTTGATGCGTGCAGACATGCAAGTGCATGCAAATCCGTAGAGATTGGAGGTTAGTCAAGTTGAAGGTTCGAATAATCATTATTATCCAAATGAGGAAAACTCGTAACTCCAATCTCTTGGTATTCTCGTCAGCGAGAGAAAGTTGGTTCTTTACACCTCATCTTTTTAGCTCCCTTCCAACGCCGTTGGCCTCTTCTTATTTAGGACTGAGAACTCTTGAAGGGACAAAAAACCAGGACTTGGACCTAAGCTCAACCTCGCACGACATGACAAGCGTGAAGCCTATATTGATTTACATGAATTTGCACGTTCTTGTCTATTTTGACAATACGCTTTGCAATCACGTGGACGCAGTGGCACAAATAATCAACACAGATACGATAACAAGATACCCATTCGTGAAAAAAGTTAATTTGTATGGACTCGGGTTGGCTAGAGCGGATCTATCACAACCGTTGAGCATGTAAGACCTCCATAATTATTGGCATGGACCCGATTCAGTGGATTCAAGGGCACCAAACACCGGGGTATGCTACAATATCCACTTCAGAGCCAAACAAAACGGAGCAACTATCTTGTCGAGTTTCCCTTTCTATCTTGTTTTCCCTCAACAATGTGCGCGGAAAAGTCTTCCTCACAAAAGTGGACAACAACATCGAAACTAGGTAATGTTGTTAGGAACATGACCGTCATAATCGTTTCCCATTTATCCTTGTTAACATAAGCTAAAGTAAGCTTAAATTTGTCCATCCTTGAATAGAGCTCGATAAAGGGAAAATTATCCAAAAAATCCTAAAACTTATTGCATTTTTGCCAATTCAATTCTAAATTTTTCAATTTTGCCAATTGAGTTATAAATTTTTTCATATTTTGCCAATTGAGTCCATCCGGTTAATTTTAACAGAAAAGTGCTTATATCGACGTTGGTAGTGAGATGAAGAACGGCCGGCTTTAACGTGGATCATTTTTTTTTATAATTTTTGTTTTTTTATTTTGTTTTTTTTATCTTTTTCTTCCTTTCTTTTCCCTTTTTCTATCAAGTCTAGCGAGGGGGGGGGGGGGGGGGGAGGGTTGGCTAAAGGCCCTCGCCGGGCTTGGACGAAGAAAAAGAAAAGGAAAGAAAAAATTCATCAAAATATTTAAAATATTATTAAAAATTGTTCATATCAACGACGGCCGTCCTTCAGGGCACCACTGACGTCCACATCAGCGATTTCCAATTAAAATTGGCTGAATTGACTCAATTGGCAAAACGTGAAAAAAGTTTAGGACTCAATTGACAAAATTGAAATATTTAGAACTGAATCGGCAAAAAAGCAATAAGTTTAGGACTTTCTGGACAATTTTCCCGCCCAGTAAGGGTATATGTGGCGCAACAAAAATGATATAAACATGAGTGAACTCACCCAGGCGTAAACACTCGCGAGTGCAACTATATAGAGAAATCTTTTTCCTATACTTCCGTGAAAATATGACGAAAGTTGTTTGAAATTGCGAAACGATAAGGTAAATAATACTCTGCTAACCCCATGTGACACAAGAAACCCGAAAATAACCTAAAGTGGCAAAAGATTTCGGAAAGAACAAAAACCTAAAATAACATGAAAAAGAGACATAAAATAACTTTGTAATGTGCCTAAGCGATGGATTGAGACCCGAAACTACTAAAAACACAAAGCCCATTCTAGCCACGGCATAAAATGAGCTTTCCAAATTGGTATTATGGGCCACTAGACTTATCAAATGGGTGGATTGGATTAAGTTTGGGCCGGGTCATAAATGGTCCAACCCAAATTGACCCATTAACCCGTTTATGACCCATTTATGCGCAATGGAATTTTCTTGACCCCTACTCAACCCGACCCATATTGCTAAAACACATCCATATTTAATTAAATCTAGAAAAACTCATATCCAAAATGAGATGAGAGTGCGGAGTGAGTGAGGGCGAGAGAGAGATGAGTTGAGTTTACGACCCATTTAACACCCATATACTTATACCAATTCATGACTCATTTACTAAATATAACTAACTCATTTATGAGTTATGGCCCATTTAATAATATATGGGTTAAGAAATGGGTTTATGACCCATTTTGATAGGTCTATGGCCCACATAACTTCTTCGGGAAAAGAAATTATGTCCGTCTTCTCGCGCGTTCCTCGAATTTTTTGTCTCGGACTCGTCTGTTGAATTTATGTCTATCCGAAAACCCCAAAAGGTCATCAGCATTCACGTTTGCGCGAATAAGACAACATATTATCCATTTTGTTCCTCGCTCGAGCATCGGATTGCATTTGAATACCGGCTCATCACATCAAGGCCCGCCATCGGGGCTTTCGAGGTGAGGCAATCTTAGTCTTGTCCTTCTACAAATGATGGATTGAATCGCAAGTAATGACGAGATGTGTCCTTGGCTAACAAAGAAGGCCAAGGCGGGATGAAATGATTGATGCTTTACTTACATTATAGTTCGTGACATGACACTACTACACCCATTTGGACTCTAGCGGCTGCGCCAACATTATATGATTACGATGTTGTCGTGATTAACCAGCTTAATATAAATAATACCCAAAAAAGGGCAAAGAGAAATAATGTCCGAAAAGGAGGAGGAGGGCGATGAATCTTTTCACTTGGTTGAATCAGCCGTCGCGGGACTCGCAGACAAGTGGCAGCAGAGTTGATGAATCCAACTTCGATTCTGCCGTGACCCTTTTTGTGACCAAGTGCACGCTATCGCGAGTGTCAACTTCGAATTCCTCGTATGGATCGATGACAATGAGAAAAATGTCCGGACGAGGACACTAAAGTCCCCTCCTAAGTGGCTTGACTAGTTATACATTGAATATTTCGGCTCCGTTTATTTCGCGAAAAATAACTTTTCAAAAATTATTTTCCGAATTTTTCGATGTTTGGCACACAAAAAACAAAGCGGTGAAATTTTTTTTTCCATCAACGAAAAAGAGGTCTCCTAAAACAGGAGAAAATGGTTTCTGCTATCCGAAAAGCAAAAATCAATTTTCGAGTAACCAAACGAATCAAGAGTATCGATCATATTTGATCGAGGTCAAAATAGGAAGCAAAAAGAAACATGCGAGAGATTAATGCGATTGTGGAACAACTCGAGAATCTGTTGCTTCCCGAGGCCGGAATCGACATTGCTACTTGCGGGCGGAGCGTGGGGGCCGGCAACGGGCTTTTGGCAAATAGCAGCAGTGCAAGCGGTGTGTGCTTGGGCCCTCTCGAGTTTGTCGTCGTTGGGGTCAAGGAAAAAAGGGCTCGTCGGGGATTGAATCCGGTTGGCTATGGACCTGAGGATTTTAGTCGTGGAGCCTAAGCGAAACCTACGAAGGAGAAGGCGGCCTTAAGGTTTCGAAGCTCGGAATTCGAGGCCGATCTGGTGAGGCTCGAGCCTCATCGACCTCGCCCGATTTGGCAAGGTGGATGATCGGCCGAAGAAGGAAGAAGAAAAGGAAAAAAGACAAAAAGAAAAAATTAAAAATATTTTTTTAAAAAAATGTAAGAAAAGATAAAAAAATTATTAAAAGGAGTGCACAAAAGAAAATCAAATCAGAATTTTCTATATCAAACGACGGAAAATATTTTCTAGTTCATTTTGAGGTTTCAATCAAACACCGAAAAATATTGTTATTTTCCTGAAAAATAACTTCCCGCAAAACATTTTTAAAAAATGTCACATTTTTTCCGCAAAACAAACGGAGCCTTAAATTAAGTGATCCAGCTTGACCAAAAGTAATTAAGTGCTACATGATATATACACACAACTTGGTAGCTAAATATTCGATATACAAATGTTAATAAGAGATATTTACATTTTTGGTATTTTCTCTTTTATCGAGCCTCAAACTTCATGGTTTTAGCTAACAAAGCATTTTGAAACCATGTGCCTAAATGACGAGATCGATCTCGTGTTTCAATTTTGAAACCATGGTAAATTCTTTCTTCATATCTCGTGGTCTGGATGGTCCTGTAGTTTGTCTTTATCATGATGGGAAAAGCAAAACTCATTATGATATAAGGAATTCTAGGCCGTAACATCGGTGGCAGATGCAAAAGCCTAATTTAGAAAGGCGAGATAAAAGGAATTTGCAATACCTAACTCGAGAGGCAAAATATAGGAGTTTTATATCAAATTTGATTAATTATAAAGAAGAAATAAATAAAATAAAAAAAACCATCTTCCAATTTTTCGCCCATATAAGTTTACATCCTCAAATTTCAAAATAGACAATTTTCACCATGAAATTTTAGTTTTACACTTCAA